CTGCGAGGATAACGCCGTCGGCGATGCCCCATGGGCAGCGGTCCGTGTCGCCGCACAGCGGGAGAGCACGCGCCGCACGCGCAGGGGAGAAAGAAAGAAGACAGCATGTCTGAAAGAAAGAAAGAAGACAGACAAACCTAAACGAGGGATGGGGGAGGAGGACAGGGTCCACCAGCGCAAATTCTTTTCTGCGTGAGGTTGACCCCCCTCAAGGGAAGACGGCTGCTTGGATCTGCACCCGGCGTGTGTGCCCAGTTGCTGTATAACAAAGACCTGCACATGGCAAGCGCAAGCCGCGTGCTCCTCTTCTGCCTCCTCTCTCCGCTGCTGGCACTCCCTCTCTGCGGCTACGTGTTCGTCCTCGCCGCCGCGATCGCCCACAAGCTGCATGGGCCGCGGCAGCCGGCCGGGCCGCCTCCGGCCGACGCTCAGCGCTCGCCGGGCTGCGGCCAGCCTTCTCACGAGCGGACGGGGCAGGCAGTCTACCGGACGCTCGACGTGGGAGGCGTCGAGCGCGAGTACCTGCTCTGGCTGCCAGAGGGGTACGACCCGGAGCGGCCGTATCCGCTGCTGCTCTCTCTGCACGGCGCGACAAACTCGCCGGTGTTGATGGCGATGCAAGATCAGCTGCACTGCCTCGCCGACACCGCGCCCTTCATCGTCGCGTGGCCGGCGGGCTACTACCGCGATAACCCGTACCGCTACTCCTCCTGGAATGTGCCCGGCGCCACCGCTCGCGGCGACAGCGCCGAGGATGGCGCACCTTGCATCCGCAACCCGCTCACTGGGGAGTGGGGGTCGGTGGACCACCCGGAATTCGTCTCGTACGACTCATGCGAGTACGGCGGCGGCGGTGCGTCGGACCCCACCCGCTGCTTCTCCGCCGCTTGCGTCGACGACTTCGGGTTTGGCGCGGCGCTAGTCGAGGCGCTTGAGCAGGAGTTCTGCGTCGACGTGGGGCGGCTGTCGCTGCACGGTCACTCGATGGGCGGGCTGATGGCGCTCACGCTCGCCTCCGCCCCGCCGCTCAACGCTCGCGTCCGCGCCGTCGTCGCGCACGCGGCTGCGCCCTTCGCGGGGTACAACTCGCCACCCTCTCCGCACGCGGTGCCTCTGCTCAAGCACGACGCGAGGGAGGACTGGGTGGTGCCGCCCTACGCCGCAGCCTCGATGACGCCTGGCCAGCTCGGCCCCCTCAACGGCACGGTCGGCGAGGGCGGCTGGCTCTACACCCGCTCCGTCGAAGTGACCGCCGCTTGGGCCTCCGCCTTTGACTCCGCCGCGGAGCAAGGCGGAGGGGCGGCAGACTTGCGGCCGGCGGGCTCGGGCGTGGCCTCTGCGCTGGACGGGTACCGCGGCTTCGGGTGCGAGATGCGAGAGGGGCGGGCCGAGGTCCTCACATGCGAGGGAAGCTGGACCCACTCGTTCGCCCTCGCTACGCCCCTCAACGCGCCCGCCGGGATCGAGCTCGCCTCGATCGCGTACGACTTCGTCTCGCGCTTCGTCCGCGCCGCCGACGGTTCGCTCGCCGCCGCCGCCGGCGAGGAGGACGCCTCCCCTTCGCCGCCGCCGCTCGGCGCCTCGCGCCTCTCCCTCGACGCGTGCGCCTCCTTCGGGCCGTACCGTGCGGCGGCGATGCTGGCGCCCGGCCTGCTCGCCGAGCTGGCGCGCCGCTACCCGCCCGCCGGCGCCGCGCTCATCGTCGGCATCGTGATCGGAGGCGTGGAGTGCGTGCTGCTCTGCCTGCTGCTCGGCGCATCGGCCATCGCCGCCGTACGCGCGCTCGCAAAGTCGCACACCAGATCGCATCTGCCGGTCCGCCTCTTTGGCCACGCGTCGTTGACCTGAGACTGGCCGCGCTTTTTTATTCTTTGCCGGAAATGGCCACCGCACACCTGAACACGCGTTCAGTGAACGCGCGCCCACGTATTCACCCCACAGCACCGCAACCAGTCGCCACCAGTCTATGAAGCCGGTCCACGGCGCGGCAGTGGCAGCGCTGGGTGCGCTAGCTCTGATCGGCTGTGGCGTGCGCCTCACGCACTTCAATGGTCCTGCAACTCGGCGTGCTGCCGTGCAGCTGGTGGTGGAGCACGAGCAGCCCAGCCGCCGGCTTGTGCCGGAGACGCAGCAGCCAGCAGCCGCACGGCAGCCAGTCGTGGCACCGAAGCCTCGCGTTCCGGTGACGAGCGCGCCGCCGCCGCCAGCAGCGCTGTCACCCCGGGCTGGAGGCGACACCAAAGGCGGCAAGGCCGGCGGCGACGGTTTGAGCGCCGACGCCTGCCTGATTGCGAAGTGGGGTGGTGTGTGGGCGCTCGAGGGTCCCCGCCGCACGCGCTACCACGTCGACATCCCCACCCCGGGCTGCGACCAGCGCTCCGCCGAGGTGGAGGGCGACAGCCTGGCAACCTTCCCAAAGGCGCACGGAGGCGGCCCCGGGTACGCGCTCGGCGCGAAGGGCTCCAAGGCGGCCTGTCTGCGGCGCGCGTGCGCGGGTCCCGGCCTGCGGAAGCCCGCCCTCGTGGAGGCTCCCACTCCGCTGCAGGCTCCTCCGAACGGCTGGGGCCTCGGGCCTGCTCCGGGCTGGATGGAGGGGTCTCCGCTGCGGTTCAACTCGGTGGCGAGAAAGGCCTTCGCGGCGGGAGGGAGCTACGAAGGCATGCCGCCCGGCCAGCCGCTGCTGCTCGTCTTCGGAGGCGCGTCGGTCAACGACATGCTTCGCAACTGGGCGCTGCACGTGCAGAGGCTCGCGCTGCCGTACGTCGTCACTTGCATGGACGAGAGCCTCTTCACGCTCGCCGGCAACCACGGCATGCCGGCCGCCATCTTCCGCGGCGGCAGCGGCGAGGAGGCGAGCGCTGGCCCCGGCGTCGTCACCACGCGGTGGAAGTACTTTCGGATGGACCCGCGCGCCTTCATGACGATGGGCATCCTCAAGGCGCTACTAACCCTAACCCTAACCCTAACCCTTCATGACGATGGGCATCCTCAAGGAGCAGCAGCACAACTCCTCCCACCTGCAGCGGCCCCGGAGAGCCATCCCTCGGCCGGCGCGGCAGCCCGGAGAGCCCCGGGCGCCACCTGCCTCGCAGGTGCGCTTCTTCCTCGCCTTCCTCCGCGCCGGCTTCGACATCCTCTGCGCCGACCTCGACGTGCTCTGGCTGAGAGACCCGCGCCCGTGGGTGACTGGACAGGCGGCGCACTCCTCGACACGCCACTCCTCGCCCGACATGCCCTCGGAGCGGCATCGAGTGGCCCGCGTGCAGCCGTCTCTCTCGCAACCTTCCCCGCGCGCCCCCTCTCGCTCTCCGTCCGAGCCGCGGCCCGGCCCCTCGCTTCAGGTCGCCACCTCCGCCCTCATCTCGTTCGCCGACATCGTCGTCTCGACCGACGTCACTTCGGACGCCGCAGAGAACGACCGCGCCTCGTGGGGGCTGGCGCAGGAGCTCAACACGGGCATGCTACTGCTCCGCTCGAGCCCGGGCGCCGCCGTCGTGTGCGAGGCGTGGGTCGACCGGATGAAGCAAGAGATGGTCTCGATCGAAAAGCTGCCAAAGAACATGCTGCAGTGGTGGTCCAACGACCAGACCTTCTTCAACGAGGTGCACGCGCAGTGCACTCGTCCGCCAAACCAGTAGCTATCCTTAATGTCACCGGCCCCCTCCTCCGCCGAGGTGCACATGCGCGCCACGCTCGACGGCTTCGCCAACCCCAAGGCGACCGACGCCGCCCGCCGCGAGCGCGCCGCCGAGCACCTCAGGTCCATCGACCGGCGGCCGGCGAGGACGGCGGCGCTCGATGCGGCGCTGAAGCGGCTGGGCGACATGATCGCCGCCGGGCCGGCCAAGGCGGGCGAGCTCGAAGACGTGCGCGGGCTGCAGTTCCGCTCGCGGATCGGGTGCGACGGCCAGCACCACAGCTTCGCCATCGGCACGTTTCCGTACGAGCTCTTCGCGTCGGGCCACACCTTCTTCTCGCAGTCGCTGCAGCTCCGCCGCGGCTTCTCGCCGGTGGCCGTGCACACGACCTTCCAGTTCTGCGACACGGCCGAGTTCGCGTGGGGCAAGCGCTCGCGGCTGCGCGAGCGGCTTCTGTGGCTCGTCGACCCGGACTCGTACTACGAGCGGGTGGGGCCGGCCTCGGAGCCGCAGCCCGAGCCGACCGAGCTCGAGTACTCCGGCTTCCTCCACCTCGACGGCGCGCTGCCCGACCCGCCCACCTGCGAGATGCCACTCGCTGACTCGCCGAGGACTTGTTGCGCAGGCGCGCTGCTCGACATGTCTTCCTGGCCGCGGCCGTACATGCGCTCCGAGGCGTCGGCCGCCATCAAGGTGGAGGGGTCGAGGAGCTTCATCGACGAGACTCTCGCGCGCAAGTCGGACGTGCACACGATGCGCGACGGCCCGGCCCGCCATTTGCTCCTCGACTCGTTCCAGAGGCGGCTCATCCACGACGCGCTCGCCCTCGCGCGCGCGATGAAGCGGAAGCTCATCCTGCCGCCGCTGCAGTGCTGGTCGGACCGCTACTGGAACGCGCTCGTGCGCGGCCGCTTCCCGGGCGTGCGGGCCGACGCCCAGCCCCTCCCCTTCCACTGCCCCTTTGACCACCTCTTCGACAACGAGAAGTGGGCGCACTCGGACGCGCCGATCCGGGAGCACTCCTTCCTCGACAGCCACCGCGTGCTAGACCGCGACCGGAACGACTCGGTGAGGCTCGTGGTGCGCGGCGCGCCGGCCGAGGCGCGAGACCACTTGGGGCGGGAGCCAGCCGTGGCGGCGCGCACCCTCGAGCTCTCTCCCGGCGACGACTACGCAAAGGCGGCATCGGCGCTCCAGCAGAAGGGGTGGGGTGGCGCGTACGTGGTCAAGGTTGGCGCTCGCTCGCTCGAGCTGCTGTGCGAGTCGCTCGGCTCGGCGAAGGCGAACGCGGCATTCAACAAGGTGGTGCAGCGCGTCCTCGGCATCGGCGAGCAGATCCGCTACTGCGACGACGCGGACAACCGGCGGTGGCCCGGCGACGCGCGTCACCCGATCAACTGTGCGCGCCGCCCCGCGCCCGCCTGCCGCCGCCGCGCGAGAGAGCTCGGGCGCACAGCTCAGGCGCACCTCGGCGCTCCCGCCGCAGGCACCTGGGGCTTTCACCGGCCGCCGCCGCTTCCCGAAGGCAGCGGCGGCCTCCTTGGCGTCGGAGCGTCGGCACCGGCAGCTTGCCGGACGGACGCCAAGGAGATCCTCGCCGCGCGGTTTGCCGAGCCAGAGAGGAGCTGGAAGGGGAGAGGAGGGGAAAGTTGGTCAACGCAGGACCGACCAGGCTACCTCTACCACCAGTACATGAACAAATAGAGTCTGGGGCTCTCGAGAAACGCGGGGCCGGGCGACCCCCGCGCGCCCCCGGGGCGCGATGTATTTTAGGGCTTCGCCGCACACCCCTCGTGGAGGCCTGCCAAAATGTTTATCTTTATCCAGGGGCGCGGTCACTTCGAAGACTCGGGAACACACCTCATACCAATATGTGCAGGAAGGTGCGATCCGCCATAAAGAGGTCGAGGCGTGTGAGAGTTGCGCGAAAGTGTCGGCGCCAAAAAGCTGCACACGATCGAAGACACCGCGGGCTGCAATCTAGTTGCACCCCACCCCTCCCTGGCTGTTGCCGCCGGCGAGGATCTTGTAGTAGCGGCTGTCGCAGTAGAGCGGCTTGACGTTCTCCTGCTCGCCCGCCCCGCCCCCCATCCGCTGCCTCGCCTTTGCCTGCTCTGCGGCGGCAAACTCGTCGTCTCCACGCAGCTGGCTGGTGTACCTGCGCGGGAGCGGGGCGGCGGCGGTGGGGCAGGCTCGACGCGAACAGAGCGGGCAGAGCGGGAAGGGTGCTCCAGGATGGCCCGCCGAGCCGACTGCTGCGCACCGGGTGGCGCTGTCGCCCGAGAGGGTGCGGAGCACTGGCACGTCGGAGATCTCGAGGGCGGCGGTGCTGACGAGGAGCGAGGCGAGGAGCGGGAGCAGGGAGCGGTCGATCCGGCGGAGGGCGGGCGCCACCTCGGACTTCTCGATGAGCCGGTCGCGCAGCACCGCCTCGTCATCCTTCTTTGCGAGGAAGCCACGCTGGTTCTGCTCATAGTATGAGACGCGCTCCTTGAGCCGTTTCTGCACAAAGCCCCACCCGAGGCGCAGTCGCAGCACCGCAACCACCATGAAGGCGGCGGTGCCCGTGTGCGCTGCCGCAAGCAGCTCGGGCAGCTGCGCCGGCAAAACCCGGTACGTGTCGAACGCAATCGGAAGCGACACGACCAGCATTGTCGCGCCGTACAAGCCCTTGAGCTTGTCGGTGTAGCCGTCGTCCATTGGCCAGTCGAAAAGAAACTCCCTCCTCAAATTCTGTACCTCCCGCACCGGCTGCTGATTCTTTGGCAGCCCGCGCTGCAGAAAGGCGCCCGGCCCTTGCCCGCCCGCCTCGCGCGTCTCGCTCGCGAATATGGCGCCCGCCCGAGGGAGAGCCGAGCATGGGCGGCTGGCAGCGATCCGAGCGTCGGGAGGCAGGTAGCCGGCAGCGGCGAGCGCGAGAGCCTGCGCGAACACCTGCGCGAACATGGCGTGAATCAAGCGGAAGGATCCTGAAAAAAATTGGAGCGGCAAAAAAATCAACGATGTGATCAGGCGCCGCGGTTGAGACCGTCGAGGTGATAGAGCAAAGAATGACATTCTCGCTTCACCTGCTTCAGCTCGCGGCCGGTCTCTCGGCCGGCGTGTCGCCGCTCACCGCGTGGCACTGCAACGGCAAAAGCTGCTGGAGGCCGGCACACCTCAATCAATCCGTCTGCCGCCCGCAGCCCTGCCCGACGCCGGTGGCGGTGCCCTGCGACGTGCCCGGCTGTGACTGTGGGGCGGAAGAGTCCAAGTTCGATGCCGTGCGGCAGCAGGCTGAGGACTGCGCGGCGGAGCTCACGGCTGCGATCGACGCGTTTGAGTCCCGTCGGAAAGCGTCGGCGGGCGTCAGCTCGGCGAACGAGGCTGTCCTGGCCACCTCCCTCGCCTGCACCGAGGCGGAGCTGCAGCAGCACCTGCGAGACCGCGACGCGCTCGGGGAAGCCATCGTCTCCGCCGCCGCCCGCCTCGGAGTCCGACCTGGGACGCTGGTGGCCTGCTCCCTCGCCATCACGGCTCTTCTCGCTGCGGCATGCTGCCTGCGCTTTCGGCGGGCGGCTGTAGCAGCGGCTCGGGCGTCGGCCGAGGCGCAGGCCAACGCCGAAGCGCAGGTGCAGGAGGCGAGGGGCGGGAAGGCCTTGGTCGCGGCGGCCGCCGAGCGTGCGCGGGCGGAGGTGGAGAAGGAGACGGGGGAGGCGGTGGCGGCGGCGGTGGCGGCGGCGGTCGCAGAGGCCGAGGAGGCGACGGCCGCGGCGGTCGCCAGGGCGAGCGAGGAGGCGAGGAGGGAGGCGGCTGCGGAACGAGTAGAAGCGATTGCAAAGGCGTTGGCGGCGGCGGCCAGGGAGCGGGAGGCGGCGGCCGCAATCTCCGATGCGGCAGCAGAGGCGGCAGCGGCGGCGGCAGCAGCGGAGGCCGTGGCGTTGCAAGCGGCGACGGAAGCGGCACGTGCGACGGCGGAGGCGGCAGCCGCGGAGGCGGCGGCTGCAGCGGAGTGCATGCGCTCCGAGCTGGAGGGCGTGGAGACAGATGCGGCTGCAGCAGTCACGGCGGCGGTGGCGGCGGCGGTCGCAGAGGCGGACGAGGCGACGGCCGCGGCGCAGGCTCAGATTCGGCTCCTCGAGGAGGAGCGCGACGTGGCAGCGGCGGAGGCGGCGCGGTTGGCAACGGCAGAGGCGGCGGCAGAGGCGGCAGCAGCGGCGGTGGAAGAGGCGGCCGCGGCGGAGAAGGCGTGCTTGCGGTCTGAACTTGCGGACACGGAGGCGGAGGTTGCGGCGGCGGAGGCGGCGGCGGCGGCCACGGAGGCGAAATTACACCTGGCCCAAGAGGAAGCCGTGGCTGCAGTGGCTCAGGATGGCTTGCTGCTTGAGGGGGGCGCTGAGAAGCTGGAGGGGGCCAGCAGCCTCCTGCAAGAGGCGCTGGATGACAAGGTGGCGGCCGAGGAAGAGGCACGCTCGGCGTCCGAAGCGAAGGCACGCCCAACCCCACCCGCCGGACCCCCCCGCCTCTCCTCGCTGGCCCTCCTCTCTCCTCTCCGAGTCCTCACGCCGCTCGTCGCCATTCCGCCCTCGCAGAGGCAGCTTCAGCTGGAGGCGGAGGTGCTGCGCACGGGTCTGGCGGACGCGGAGAGGCGCGTCACGCTGGCGGAGGCATCGCGGGCGGCGCACGAGGCCAGAGAACGGCAGAGGGCGGCAGAGGCGTCGCAGGCAGTGGCTGCCGCAGAGGCGAAGTGCGCTGCCGCCGAGGAGCGCGCGGCCGCGGTGTCGGCATCCACGGTGTCGGCGGCCGCGGCGGCGGGAGTGGCGAAGGCGAAGGGCGAGGCGCTTCGAACTGCGGGTGACGATGACGACGACGATGTGACGGCGTCCTTCTTTTCTCTCCCCGCCCAGCCCGCGTCCTGCTTGACGGCCCGCCCGCTTGTTCACGCATAGGCGGACGCGCGGAGCGAGCAGCCGCCTCTGCAGAGGCCGGCTGCCGCAGGGGCCGACAACCACTTCAAGTCGGTGGTCTATGCGTTCACGCTCTCGATCCTCTCGGATGGCGCGGCCCTTGGCGGCGCCGGCGACGCCGGTGTGGTGTTCAACATGGCGAACGCCGTGGGCGCCATGCTCGAGCTTGACGAGGCGAGAAGGGTCGGGGCTCATACTGAGGCCGTTTGGGGGAGGGGTGGGCTGTGGTAGAAGACGCTGCGTTTGCGGCTCGCCCCGCTGACACTCTGCGTTTGCTCCGCCTCGCCAGGAGGAGCGCGCGCGCTTTGACGAGACGCTCGAGCGCTTCTACCGCCCTTGGTACGAGAGGCTCGCGCAGGAGGCGGCGCCGGCGCTTATGCGACAGGGCTCGGCCCTTCTGCCGAACAGCCCGTTCTCCAGCGGCGGCGCTCCGCTCGCAAGCTCGTGGACGGGCGCGTCGATGTTGTCGCGGCCGAGCTCCATTTTTGGGACGCTCACCGAAGGCGCCGAGCGGACTCCATCACGCGAGCAGCGCTTCCCCGACGGCGAGCAAGGCGCGCATAGCGACGAGGGCGACCCGGACAGCCCCGCGGCGCGGAGTCCCGCGCCAATCGCAGCGCGCGCAGCCCGGCAGCGCCGCATCAAGCCACGCCGCTCCTCACTCACGAGGCGGTACGAGAGCGGGGAAGGGTTTCTGAGGAGCGGAGGCGGCGTGGTCGAGGGCTTGACCGACACCGAGTCGGTGGGTGACTTGGGGAGTACGGCGGCTGCGCCATCGGAGGGGAGCTTGACGCAGGCGGCCGCGGAGCTCGTCGCTACCACCAGCTCGCTGCTGCCAACTTCGCTGCTTGGGGCCCTTTCGAATCCGATTGCCGGTTCGTTCACTGGTTCCTTCACCAGTTTGTTTGGCGATGACACGGAGGAGGCTCCGTCCATACGGAGCATTCGCGCCAGTCCCGTGTCCACAACGCCGCGCGAGCGGCCGCGGCCAGGTCGGATCTCTCGCGGGTCTGGGCGGTCAAGCGAGCAGCTGGATTAGAGAGTGTGTGCAATGTGGCGCAGTGTGTATGTACCGTCTTCCATTCCCCGTGGGCGTGGCCTGTGGTCACTGGTCTTTCTCTCTATTTTACGGATTTTAACGTTTCGTAAACCAAGCCGTACACGGGTCACGGCCACACCCCGCACAAGGCCTTCGCCCTCCCCCCCATATTCGACTTTCGAGTGGCCTGTCTCTTTAGCTCTCCTTACCACACAGAGCACACAGAGTACACCGTACACCCACACTCATATCGCGAGAGAGACGGCAGGTTGGCATCCGTGGTTCTGGGGCTAGACCCAGAGGTTTAGCGCACAGGGCGCCTCACTGGTCGTCGCCCATCGCGTCGTCCTTGGCGGCGGTGGCGCCATCGGCCTTCTCCTCGGCGGGGGGCTGGCTTGTCGCAACCTGAACCTTGATAGGCTCGGCCCTCGCCCGCTTGCGGACCGTCACGTGCAGCAAGCCGTGCTCCAGCGTGGCCTGCACCTTCTCTGGGTCGATGCGCTCAGCGGGCAAAGCAACAGCACGGTGGATCTTGCCGCAGTAGTTGAGGCCGCTGCGCTCGAACTTGGACTCACCCCTCACGCGGAGCACCCCCTCGTCCAACGTGATGTCGACGTCCGACGGCAGGACGCCCGGCGCCTCGAACGCGAGGTGGAAGGCGTCCTCGGTCTCGCGGAGCTCGGAGGAGTGGCAGCGTGGCGGGGCGTGCGCGAATGCGTCGACCAGGTCGAAGAGGTCGTGGCGCGGGAAAGGCATCTGGAGAGCTAGCATTGCTGCTTCGATTGTTCGGCGGACCTCTGGACACTTCTGGAGCGTCGCCGACCTCTTGTCACGCTCGAGATTCATCGATGTCTGGAGCGTCTGCTGAAAACAGTCGATCGATACCTGAATTCCTTAGAGAGATGTTAGAGGTGGGGAATTCCTCCAAACCGTTGACTGTCTGTACTCGAGTAGATAGATTGATGACTCCACTGTCTGTCCGTTCTCGATCGATTCATTCCTCCGTGTTTTCTGTGAACAATTCCAGCGTTCTGCTGACCGGGCTACTAAGAGAAAGAGAAAGAAAAAACATCTCACAAACCTCTCCTTCTTCTCCCCTGCTCCTTCCACTCCTAGCACACTGTCGGTGTCGCTGTGAAGTTGGCGTCGTAACAGAACGGCAACGCGCGCCGGGGGGGGCGCCGGGACAGTCGGGGTGGCCTCACGCACATGCGCTTCTGGCCTCGCTGTCGTCATGGCGGACGACGAGTACGATGACGACGAGTTCGATGAATACGATGACGGCACGCGCTAGAACCCGCCTCCTCCACCCTTCCCACTCTCGCAATGCGCTCATGGCAGCCACACCCGCCGCCAGCATGCTGCACCCACTGAGTCGGGAGCCACGCCACTTGCACAGAATTTGAAGAGGACGAGGAGGAGGAGGGGCCGGCGCCACCTTCACCGCAGCGGACGCCCACAGCGGCGGCGGCCACCGTCAAGCCGGAATCGACGAGGGCTCCGCTGAGCCCGCACGAGCACCACCAGGTGGTGGGGCAGGTGGACGCAATCCCGAGGAAGCCGCACTTTATTGCACCGCAGACGCAGGCCGAGCGCTCGCTCCACAGCCTACGGGTCGCACGGCGGGAGGCGCTGCGCAAGGCGGTAGAGCTGCAGCAAGAGTCGTTCACTCTGTATGAGTCAGCACCCCAGACGCCGTACGAGCTCATGCGCCGCGAGATCAAGCTGCGCACAAAGTCGAGCCAGACCCGCGACGACGACTCTGGGGCGGCAACTCAGACGGAGGAGATCGAACGGGATGACCAGGCCTGCCACGCGCCGGACGATCTCGCCACTACTGCGAGACGCGCCCTCCAAGACCAGTCCGACTCGGCTCGCACTGCCGCGACCCTCTCCGCCAACACGGCGCGCCTCAATCGCTTTCTCGGCGCGGCGAGCGCGGTCGTCGAGGCGCTCTGCGTCGAGAATGCGCTCGCCGGCGCACTTGGGGATGGCGGGCTCTGTCCGCACTCGGAGCTCCCGATGGCGTCCCGGTCGGCGGAGCTCGTCCCGCCGTCACCGTTCGATGGGAGGCCTCCCGTGGACATTTCCTTTGCGCCCGGTGCTGGCGGCGTGCTAGTCGCTTACGGGCCGCACCCCGGCGACAAGCCGCGCGGCAAGCGGCGCGAAGAAGTGGCGCTCAGGCGCGCGGCCGCGGGTGGGATTCTGTGCGTTTGGAGCGTCCACCAGCCGGCCGAGCCGCGAGAGGTGCTCCGTTGCGCCGGGCTGCCAACCTGCTGCGCCATCGCGTCGGCGCCGTGCCGGGTCGCGCTTGCTGGCACCGCCGAGGGGGCGGTGCAGCTGTGGGATTTGCGCGACTCGGAAGCGCGGTACGAGCGCGCGACACTCGGCGGAGCAATGCGAGCGCTCCGGTCGGCCGCCTTTAGCTCTCACGGCTGCGCGCTCAACGAGGGCCACGAGGCGCCCGTGGTCGCGCTCGCACTCGCTCCGCCAACTGCGGCTGCGGAGGCGGAAGATCTAGTTGCGACGAGCTTGGACAGTGCTGGTCGGCTGCTGGTGTGGCAGCTGCTCGAGGGGAGCCTCACGCAGTTGGGCGAGCGCCTGTCGGAGGAGGGCCTACCACGGGAGGGCGACGGCCTCAACCTCGACGCGTTCGCCTACGGGCAGACTGTCGGCGCGAGGCTGCGGTTGGTGCGTACGTCTGCGGTGCATGTTTGCGCGCCCCCCGCTCGAGCGGTGGCGGCGGTGCTCCCTGCGACGGCGCTCTGCCTCGCGCTCCTTCCCCTGGACCCGTCGCGTTGCCTCGTCGGCCTCGACAACGGCCGGCTGGTGCAAGTCTCGCGGTACGCCAACGCGCGGCCGAGCCCTGCCGAGTTTGCTCCGCCGCCTGACTCGAGCCGCGCGAGGGCCGTCACGTGCCTCGCTTTCTCGCCCTCTCTGTGCTCGGCCTTTCTCGCCGGCCGTGCCGACGGCTCCGTCAGCCTGTATACGCTCAGCGCGTCGCTGCCTCTCCTCGTCCTCGAGCCGCCCGCCCTCGCTCCCGCCGTGCAGCTCCTCTGGTCGCCGAGTCGACCGTGCGCCGCGCCCGCAGCGCCGCCGCCCGCGCCCCGCCGGGGCTCGACTCATCCATCCTCTCGCCCCCACCCCCTCTCCGCGCAGCTGCGTCTTCCTCCTCCTCGACGGCGACGCGACGCTGCACTTTTACGACCTGCTCGAGCGGAGATGGGCGCCGACTGCGTCGGCCCCGCTCTACTCGCACGCGAAGAGCGGCTTTGGCACGGCCGGTTGCGACGCACAGGTCCGGCTCGCCTTGGGCGCGAGGGTCGAGGCTCGGCGGTCGGGCGGGGCGTGCTGCTACCTCGGCGTCGTCGGTGGTGGCGGGGCTGCAGCTGTTCACCTCCTGGAGGAGGCGCAGGCCGTGCCGCGCCCAAACGAGGCGTACAGGCTGCACGAGGTGGTGGACGGGTTGTGACGGTGAAGTTCAAGCGGGTTTTCTCCTCTGTGAGTGAGTATTCTTGATACGAAACCACGACGACACACACCAGTCGACTCGCATCGGTTGCCTCCATGAACGGCGGAGCTATTCTCGCGCCCACACCACACCTGGCTCCAACGTGGACACGCCCATAGCTGGGGACACTACTAGGTCACGCATGGCATCAGAAGTTTTGTCTCTACACACACACACACACACACACACGCGCCCTCCCGGTTTTTTCCTCTCTGTTCTCTCTCCAGACGCCGTTTTCTGTGTCTGTGGGGGGCCAATATGAGCTTTTGGCTACCGTGCTTGCTGCTGGCCAGCCTGCTCGCAGCCGCCACGGCGGGCCCCGTGCTCGACCGTCGGCCCGACGCGTCCCGCGCCTTGGGGGACGGCACGATAAAGGTTGAGGACCACCGGCGGGTCATGCGGCGGGTCAACGAGGACGACAAAATAAAGATGGAACCCTACCGGGTCAACGAGCGGGACAATGACCACCATGAAGAAGGAGAAGACGACAACGACGACGACGATGTCGTCGTGCCGTTTCCCCTTCTGCAGCGGTTCCTCGCGCATTTGGACGACCTCGACGGCGACGGCAAGGTGGACGAAGACGATGCGGAGGAGCGACGGCGCACGATAGCGGCGCTCATGCGAGCGGCGGCCAGGTATGGGGCGGTTCCCATTGCAGGGCCGCTGACGACGAACTTCGTGACGGCAGGCGACGTGAGGGGGGCGCTGCGGGCATCGACCGCCAGCGACGCGCTCGCAAGGTACGGGCAAGGCGCTTCCCATACAGAGGCGGTCAAGATCGCTTACGTGCGCGCGGAGGATCGCGCCGAGACGCTCGAGCTCGCCATCATCGCGTGCGGGTTCAGTGTGATGGTCTTGTGCAGCTTGGTGCTCCTCCGCCAGCTGACCCGCCGGCGCAACCCGCTGAGGCGTCTCGAGGAGGACGACGCTACCGTCATGCGGCGCGCCCGCTCCAACTTCGTCGACAGGAGCGGCGTTGACCTTGCGGGCGGAACACGGTAGAGGGATAAGAGCCCCAAGACCCCCCCCCCCCCCCGAGCGCGAGCCGCAGTCCCGCGCCGGCGCGGAAGCAGCCGCGCAGGCCAGGGCCAGCGGACACCCCCCGGCGCGGACGCGCGCAGCGGCGCAGGGGAGCAGCCAGAGCCACCGCCCCGCCCCGCGCCACCCGCAACCGTGGAGACCCGTATCTAACGTCACAGCAAGTTTTTTTAACAGAGCTCAGTGGCGCCACACACACCCCCACCGAGCACCGTCCGCAGCGCACCCCGAGGGCCCGACTCCGTGCCCGCCGAGCGCGCGCTGTGCGCGCTCTCTCCAGCGTCCAGGTCTCCTCCTCACGGCAGCATGGGAGACGCCTGCTTCGCCTTCTTCTGCGGCCGCAGGAGGGAGGTACCACCCGACTCGTCGCCCCCCGCGCCCGGCGCGCGGAGCGGCGCCGACGGCACCGCGCCCGCGAGCAACACATCCATCGCCCCCATCAGCTGCGCGAGGTCGGCCTGCAGCCGCGCCTCGCCCTCGCAAGTGGCGCGCAGCCGGACGAAAAGCTCGTCGATGGCGGCGGACTGGCCGAAGACGGGGGCGTACATGTCGAGCAGCAGGTTCGCCACCCCGATCAGCACGTGCGCGTGCGGCGGCCGCGTGATGTTCCGCACCAGGAAGCCGACCAGCGGCTGCAGCGTCTGCTGGTCGCGTCCGTGCAGCGCGATGCGGAGGCCGTTCCGCTGGACGAGCTCCTCGATGACGCCGACGACGACGTCGGCCGCGCCGTTGAGCAGCGCCGCGTCCAGCGCCTCGTGGTACCGGAACCCCTTGAGCGCCTTGTCGAACCCGGACAGCTTTGGCGGCGCCCCCCTCCCGGCGACCACGTCGCCCGCCTGCGGCGCCTGCGTGCGGCCGCGCAGGAAGTAGCGGTACGTGCCCGGGTGCGCGCCGTCGAAGCGGGCGGCGATGCCCTCGCTCACCGCGACCTGCCCCGGCTTCGCCCCCAGAGGCCGCGCCGTCGGGTCCGCCTCGGAGGAGGCGGAGGGCATGTCTGCGCGCGCGGCGGCGGCGCGCTGCCTCCGCACGCAGATGGTCGAGTTGGCGAGGGCGGCGACGAGGTGGGAGCGGGTGGGCGAGAGGGCGACTCCGAGGACGGGCGCCTCGTACCGCAGCGAGCCGAGCACCTGGTACCTCGCCAAGTCGTGCACCTTGACGAACCGGTCGAGGCCGCCCGAGTAGAGGTGGCCGCTCCCGTCGGCGTGCAGGCACGAGACGGTCTTCGAGTGGGCGACGACGCTCTGCAGCACCTTGCCGCCGGAGAGGAGGTCGCAGATCGAGATCGAGTTGCCGCTCGCCACCGCCACCATCCCTCCCCCCGCCAGCAGCACGCAGTCCTCCACCGGCTCGCCCATCCGCACCGTCATCACCGGCCGCGGCGCAGACACGTCCCACAGCTGCACCGTGTGGTCGTACGAGCCGGAGAGGACGAGGCGGTGGGCGCCGGTGTGCTCGCCCGCCGCGCCCGACACGCGCAGGCAGCGCACCACGTCGGTGTGCCCCTCGAACGTCCGCACCGTCTCCTCGGCCGCGACGTCCCAGCAGCTGACGAGCATGTCGTCTGAGCCGGTGTAGAGCCGCCCTCCGTCGGGCGAGAAGCGGACCGCGCGCACGGCCTTGGTGTGGCCGCGCATGGTGCGCATCACCGCGCGCGAGCCCAGGTCGAAGAGCTGCGTCACGCCGCGCTCGTCCGACGCAGCGAGCATCTTGCCGTCGTGCCGGTAGGCGGTGCAGCAGACGGTGTCCTTGAAGCGGGTGAGCGTGCGGTACACCGCGTTGCTCCGCGACGAGAAGATGTCGACCTGCAGCGAGCTCGCCACGCAAAAATCGTGCGGCGCGACGGGCGAGAACTCGACGTGCGTCGGCGTGCCCTTGTGCCGAAAGATGAGAGGGTGCGTGTACTTGCGCCACGCCGCGGCCTCGGAAGAGGAGCCCGGCCGGCGCGCTTTGTACACGGGCACGCGCTCGTAGTCGGTCATCGCAATGAGACGTTGGGCGCGCGTCCGAGCGCGGAGAGTGGGAGGAGAGGCGAGAGGAGCGAGAAACGGAGCGTGCCCACCTCGTCGCGAAAAAAGAATTTTTCTTGGGCTTCAGAGTGTTGTGCGAAAAAAGAACGAATTTTGCCTTCCAAGTGCTCCAACTGCGAACGTATCGCTGTCCCTTTATTCCGAGGAGGACGAAACACCAGTGGTAATCCCGCCGTCAGCTGTCACGATATACCCGAAGGGAACCCCAGTGCCAACACCGACCGTTGAGGTACAAGTGCTCGAAACGAGAGAATGAGTGGACCTGAGCAACGACATCTCTCGCACTGTGCCTCTGTGTTCGTGCGTCGCCCATCTCTACGGGAGATGACTGCTCTATTATTCGCGGACTCAGGGCCGGTGCTTTGACGCAGTACAGTGTGCTTCGAGGTAGTATGAACTCAGAACGGCCCCCCGAGAGCGCCTCTTCGACGCCCACGGGTCCCGGGGGGTCGGAGGGGTTGCGAGAGGGCCTGGCTATTTTTTGTTTGAATTCTTGAGGCCGTTCAAACATGTAACGTGCGTTCCACGTGCCCGTCCCCAGCAAGGACAACATGCTAGCCCAGCAGGCCGCTCCCACCGCCGCCCGCGGCGGAGGCAAGGCGGCAAAGGCTGGCAAGGGCGGCGGCAAGGGCGGCGGCAAGGGTGGTGGCCGTGGCGCACCAGACCCACTTTGCGCCGCCGCCCTCAACGCCCGATACTCGGTCAGAGCCGGCGGAGCGACGGCGGCAGAGTTGCGGCCGCCGGCGACCTCACACGGCGTCGAGCGCCGTAGAGACGGCCCCGAGAGCCGCCGCCAGGTGTGCCACGACCGCGGTCGCGAGGCTCGTGGCGATGGATGCGCCAGACCCGCTTGCGCCGCCGCCCTCAACGCCCGATACTCGGTCAGAGCCGGCGGATCGACGGCGGCGGAGTTGCGGCCGCTGGCGAGTCCGACCTCACACGGCGTCGAGCGCCGTAGAGACGGCCCCGACAGCCGCCGCCAGGTGTGCCACGACCGCCGCCGCGAGGCTCGTGGCGATGGATGCGTCAGACCCGCTTTGCGCCGCCGCCCTCAACGCCCGATACTCGATCAGAGCCGGCGGAGCGACGGCGGCGGAGTTGCGGCCGCCGGCGACCTTCCCCTCGACCACGCCGCCGACCCGTCGACAAGCACACGCGGACTGCCATCGAGAGGAAGGAGAAGGATGGCGGCGCATCCGGAGCCCGCGGGCGCGGCGTGGGCGGGCGCGGGCGCGGGCGGACGCGCGGGACCCCGCCAGCGGAGGCGGCAATGCCTCTGGCGGCTCTGCAGGCGGCGCGCGGCGCGCCCCTCGCCGGTCGCCCGCACGCTCCTGAGGGCCGAGAGGGCCGAGAGGCGGGGTCGGTGACCCGGGGGCATGGGCGGTGCGGCCCGCGCCGCGCGCGGGCGCGTAGCAGCCCGTGAGTGCCGAGATTGGGTCCGTACTTCGACGTAGTATGGGCCCCCGGGGGCCCATCTACAGCAGCGGCGAAGTGAGCGTGTTTGTGGTGTTGGTGTGACGTCTGAGCTTGGATCTGTGACTAAAGCCTGTTACCACTGATGGATCCCCACCCGAATAACACACAGTGAGCGCCCCAGCGCTTCACTACGCCCTCCGCGCGAAATCGCTAGTGGTGCTTTGTGGTAGACATTGTACTTTTGAGTAGTATGGGTACGGTGCCCGAGACCGCTCGACATGACGTGGCGGCAAATGATCGGTGTGGGAGTCAGAAATGTGGTCCTTGCGCGAGGAGAGCTTGATAAACTCGAGGGGCCAAAATATGCCGCGAGGAGGGCGGAGTTACGCAGAGAGGCGAGAGAAGCAGCGAGAGCAAGGGATCGGCAGACGGCAGCGGCGTTTCAGAACGAGGCCGAGGAGAGCGATGAGTCAGAGGATGAAACAGCAGGAGAGAGAACGAGGACGAGAGTGGGAAGAACGCGAGGTGGCATGAAGGTCGCTGCGAGAATTGGTGAGAAACTGCGAAAAGAGATAGGAAGTGGTAGACGCCCGAGCGCCGAGAGGGTGGGCGACGGCTAGCACCACACTTCTCCCCTTGAAATCCCTGTGTGGTGGCGGCGTGCCGTCCTCCCATCCCTCCCTTGGGTTGTCTGTTTCTTTCTTTCTTTTGCTGTCCCTTTTGTCAGGAGCAGGAGAACTAGGAGAGCGCAACCAGTAGGGCTAGGAGGCCCGCGCCTGCCCCCGTGCCGCCGGGTGCAACTTTGTCCTATACGAGAGGGGAATCCCTGGGACCCTGTCATGTGGGTGAACCCTGCCCAACCCCCCTCCGTGTCGCGATGCGCTCCCCACTCCCGTTCTCCTGTGTCCCTGATCGTCCTTCCAAGATCCTGCTCGTGCAGGTGGGGACCCTGTCCTTGTCCCATCTCTCGTCCCTCCGTTACTTAGTTTTGGAGACTTTGGTGCGTCTTGTTTTCTTTCTTTTCCCCCCTCGCGCGCGAATCCGATTAAAGATTTTCCGCTCGTCGACACTAGAGCTCTAGTCGCGGCGCTCCCATCCCTCCCTTGGGTTGTCTGTTTTATTTCTTTCTTTTAGTCGCGGCGCGCGAGAAAAAAGTGACTTTTTAAACCAAAAACGGCCTCCGGCGAGTCCGAGTGCGGTGGACGGCGATTTGCCTGGCGGCGAATGGGCAGCCTGCCGGCGGAGGATCGCGGTCGCAGTTCGCAGAGCCCTGCCAGCAATTCCAGCACTCCTCCTCCCACATGGCCTCACCGCGCCGCCGAGCTCGGGCGAATCGCGACCGTCCCGTGGCCACCGCCGCCCAGGAGCAGCTCGAGCCGCAGCGGCGGCGGGAGGGGCGCGGCGGGCTTGCCCGCGCCGCCGGCGCCCGCGCGGGCGGTGTGCAGCAGCATGGCCTCGACGCTGTCGGCCGCGTCCTCGCCCGCCTCGGGCCAGCGGGGTCGGCGGCGGAGGCAGAGCGCGTAGGTGCACAGCCCTGTGAGCGGGTCGCGCTGCTGCGGCGCCGGGAAGGCGTCGGGCAGCGGCTTGCTGGCGGGGGTGCGGGTCCAGACGAGGGAGAGAGAGCGGCGCTGCAGCAGGTCGGCCAGCACGAGCGGCAGCGCCGCGTCGGGGTCGGCGAGCGAGGGCAGCCGCTGCTGTGCGCGGCCGAGCCACTGGAAGCGAGATGCAGAGTCGACGGCGAGGAGGCGGAGGGCGGCGGCCGGAGGCAGCCCGCCGGGCGGCGAGGCGGAGGCGGCGGGCTCGGCGCCGCCGCCGTGGTGGATGTAGCCCAGCACCGCGTGCAGGGCCAGCGTCAGCTCGTGCCTGTCTGCCGCCCGCAGCACGTGCAGCCGGCGGAGGCAGCCGTCGACAAACGCGGCCTCGGAGGCGTCCTCCGGCTCGGAGCTGCAGCCCGAGCCGGGGCTGCCCGCGGAGCCGCGGGCGAGGCCGCGCGCCGCCCGGTGGCGGCGGCGCAGGTCGAGCGCGAGCCGGGCGAGGTCCACGCCGTCCGTGTCAATCAGGACGGCGTGCGCGCCGAGGCCGCCACAGGCGACGGGCAGGACGCAGCGCGCGAGGATCTCGAAGAGCGTCGCCGTCTTCCCGCTCCCCGGCTCGCCGCTGATCTCGAGCGCCTCGCCAGCGTGGAGCACCACCTGGTGCGGCAGCTCGGCCGCCGCGTCAATCAGGCGGAGCGGCGGCCGCGAGAGGCGGCCGAACAGGTCAAAGGCGGTCTCGCACGGGCGCCAGCGGAAGCGCTCGCCCAGCACCTCGTTCTGGAAGGCGGCGGGGCACGGGGCGACGGGAGACATGTCTCGTGTCCGGGCCGGACGCAAAGCGGTGGCGGTGGAAGGGCGGCAAAAGTTTTCTCACCCCCGCTGGCAAAAGAATTTTTCCAAGTTCGAACCAGGTGCGGACTGGCGCGCCATCCCCGCGTTGCTTATTTTTTATTTCTTTCTTTCGGACTGGCGCATGCTACACTGGCGAGTAGAGGCCCCGCCCACCCAGGGACCCTCTCCGAGGACCCAGCTCTTTCGAGGACTCGCCGGGGCTCTGCTCCAAGAGACCTCGAGAGAGCGTGCGTGCGCCTCTCCTCGCCAGCGTGCTGCATGTAGAATCAAAAAAAAGACCTTTAGTTGCGAATGGACGCCCTCCTCCGCTCGTCTCGCGCTGCGCGGCTCCTCCTCCGCTCGTCTCGCGCTGCGCGGCTCGCGCTCGGCTCCGCCGCCGCGCTCGGCTCCGCCTCCGCCGCCGCCGCCAGCGCGTCCGCCCTCTGCGAGCACCCGGACGCGCGATGGTTCCGCGAGCAGGCCGATCACCAAGCGCTGGGACTGACGGCGGTGGAGGAGGCGCGGCAGGGGCACTGGTACGAGGTGGCGCGAAAGTGCCGCGAGGGCGACCCCAACGAGGTGGACGTGCGAGGCGTTTCGGTGCTGCACTTCGCCGCAAAGGCCGGGCGGCGGCAGCTGGTCGACATCTTGCTCGGGCTGGGTGCAACGCCTGGCGCGGCGGACAGGGTGCACGGGCGCACTCCGCTGCACCTCGCCGCTGCTGCGGGCCACATGTCGACGATGCAGGCGCTGCTGGACGCGGGCGCAGACGCTGCGGCGGCCGACGCCGCGGGCGCGACGCCGCTGCACCTGGCCGCTCAGGCGGGCGAGCGGGGCGCGGTGAAGCTGCTGCTCGGGCGGTGCGACCCAAACGTGCGAGACTTGTACGGCGTGACGCCGCTGCACAAGGCGGTCGCCTTCGGGCAGGCGACGAGCGTGGCGGCGCTGCTCGACGACCCGCGCACCGAGGTGGACCGGCCGGTCGGCGAGCCGAGGGCGCCGGCCGAGCACGGTGCCCTCTCCGGCGGCGAGACGCCGCTGCTGCTCGCCGCCTCGCACACGTACCACTTCCACCACACGAAGCACACGCGCATCGCGAGCCTGCTGCTTGCTGCGGGCGCAGACCCGAACCTGGTCGTCGCCGAGGCGGGCGGTCAGACCGCGGCGCACCGCGCTGCGCAGGCGGGGAACGCGGGGGTGGTGGCGAGCCTCCTCCGGTGCGGCCGTGCGCGGTGGGAGCTGCGCGACGACCGAGGCCGCACTCCGCGCGAGCTCGCCGAGGAGCACGGCAGGACAGAGGTGACGAGGCTACTGGATGCCGCGGGGGTGACACGGACAGGCAAAAATAACGATACATAACGAAACCAGAGTGCACAGAGACAGAGCCTCGGTTTTACCCATCTCCTAGAAGGGGTGTCCGTTTGTATTTTCGGCTGAGTGCTGAGATCTGAGTGAACCTGTGCGACAACCTTGATCCTTCTACCTTGCGAGAGAGAGAGATGCAGATCTCTTTTTGAAAAATCTCTCTATCTCTTTCTTCTTGAGAACCTGAGAAGCTGCCGAGCCCAAATCACAGTGAGAGTCGTGATTTCTTGTTGGTTTTCAAAAATCTCTCTGTCTTTATGTGTAAAGACTGAGTGCAGAAGATCCGACAGTGGAGTTTATTTTAGCCGCGCCCGAGGGCGAGGCTCGAAACGGCCGAGCACCCTGCACCGCACCCCCTCCCCGACGACGCCCGAGACCCTAGCCGAGACCCCGCAGATGCCGGTCAGCGCTGAAGCTGGCACCGCAAACCGTTTTAAGAACAGTCCCTCCTATTCAAAGAAAGAAAAATAACTCGAAGAACGGCGCCTGGAGTGGTTTGCGAGGAAAGCGTGATAAGGAGGCCTTGATCCCTTGATCACGCTCTGCTGCTGCTGCTGCTGCTGCTGCTGTTACCTCCAGTCCCACTCCACTGTCGGCAATACTCGCCATGTCCGAGCGCACGTCGATTCCTGACGAGAAAACGCTTGAGCGGCTCCGCTCCGACTACGGCCAAGCCAAGCCGCGCGTCGCACCGCTGGTCGCGCTGCGGCCGGAAGAGCCACACTCTGAGCCGGGATGCGTCACGAAGGCGCACCGCTATTTTTGCGGCTCGGTGAAGGCCACCAGCTACACGATGCTGGCGCTTCTTTCGTTTGCGGCACTGTTCTGGATTCCGATGATCTGGTACGTTATTATTCCGGCAGTGCTCGACATGCTCGTCGGCGCAACGAGCATCAACATCCATAACGCGACGATGAGCGCTCCAACCGAGACCAGCATGAGGGTCTCCGCCGTCGTTGAGATCAACAACGCCGGCGCGCCGCCCATTCCCCGCCGCCGCCCATTCCCTTGCCTCACCTCCGGCCCGGTGTTAGGTCCCTTCGGGTGCGACGTCGACGCCTTCAACGCCACCGTCCATGGCCCGCCAGAGGAGGGCGCGCCCAGCGGCCGGACGATCGGCTGGATGGTGGTCCCGCCATTCACGCTCAAGGGCAACGGCCCGGGCGTCATCAATCCGTCTACAGTGATGCACGTGACCGACGCCGCGGCCTTCAACAGGGCGCGCTGCACTTCCCGCCCCCGCCCCCAGCGAGGAGCCTTCTCACCCCTCCTAGTGCCTCTGACCGCCCGCCTCGCCCACTCAGATGGCGAAGCGTATGCTCAACGGTGACGCTGTGCCGTGGAGAATGACCGGCGAGAGCACCGTCTGGTCGATGGGGATCCCCTTCCCGCTCTCCATCGACAAGGAGACCACCTTCCCACCGATTCAGCTGACCAACTACGCCACGAGCAACCTCGAGATGTCGCACGGCAACACGACGACCAACCAGCTCGTGATTGACGCGGACGTGAGCTTTTACTCCGCATCGCCCATGCGTCTCGAGGGATTCGGCCTCCTCAAGGCAGAGCTCTACTACGACGTGTCCGGCAACAACCCCGACCTCAGCCCAGCCGAACGTCTCAAGCTCGCCGGGCCTCCGCTTCGGGCAGGACACGTCAAGATGGGCGAGTGCCACATGTACGACTACACCGTGGTTCAGGGGATGAACACCATCAAGACGCGCATCTACCTCGACGCAAACTACGCGACGGGCCAGTCGCTCGGTCGCTGGGCGTCCGAGTTCGACCAGACCATCGTCTCGGTCGGGCCGACCAACATCTCGCCATTCATCGACGGCATCTGGGAGGGCGCCAACGACATGCCGGGCTCGAGCATCACCCTGTACACCGCCACCTTTGTCACGGCGGACACCCTCGGTGTGCACGCGCCCAAACACCCACCTCGTCTCCCCGTCCCCCCGGGCACGCAATTGACCGCTCCCCCCCCCGCCTCGCCGCAGTCAAGGGCTACAACCCAAAGACGGGCGAGCCGTGCAAAGTCTGGGTGCGCGCGCCTCGCCTGCCGCCCCCCGCCTGCTTGCGCGCTCGTCCTGGGTGCGTACGTTCCATCCAGCCACATCGTCGCTCGCAGGACGGGGGCATCGACTCCTGTGACCGGGGCTCGACGGTGATGGGCATGAACCCGTTCAAGCGCGAGTGGTTCATCAAGGACATCGAGTACGAGACCTACCTCGAGCAGGAGTACGAGTACAGCGGCACCTTCCTCACCAAGGTGATCCCCGGCCAGGAGAATGTCGAGGTGCCGTTCACCGGCGGCACCACTGTTGGCGACCTCTTCAACATACCGGCTGTCAGCTTCAGCTGCGGCCGCTCCAACGTGCTCGGGCGCACCTTCTCCAAGCCGGGCATGTGGGCCGGCTACCCGAACCACTCTCCGGGGGTGGGCCTCTCCTACCCGCCCGACGACCCGAACACGACCGGCGTCGATGAGAACCTCCAGGCGCGGCTGGCAGACGCCGTCATTCCGGTCCCGCCGGCGACGGTTGCGGCGGACGGCACTCTGATCCCGTCCGTCTACAGCTTCACCATGCCCGTGCACCCGATCCCGGGGACGAGTGTGGACAGAAGCGGCGACGGGCCGTGCATCTGGGGCTTGAAGAACCTCAACCCCTTTGACTGCTGCATGACCACCATATTCACCGCGGCCGCGTGCAAGGCGGCGGAGTCGGGCAAGAAGCAGATCACGGTGACGAGCTCCGGGTCTGCTGTGATGATTGTCGACGGCGTGGAGCTCAATATCAGTACCTCAGTACGGATGCCCGTCACCTACACGAACGACGTGCTGCAGTTTGACGCCATCCCGCCCGACAGCTACGGCGCGCTCGGCCACGTCGTGGACGCCGGCTTTGGCTGCGACGACATCGAGTTTACGGGGGTCTCGGCGTGAGAGCCGCGCAGCTGCGAAGTGGCTTGGTCTCTTCTGGGGCGGGGATCGGCGTGCACGCGCCGCGAGCGCGCGGTAACGAATGACAATGAGTCGGCTGGTGTGCTGCGCGGGGATCTCGTGCGCGGGGGACGGGCGGGAGCGGGGAGGGAGTGCCGTGAGTGCCGTGTGTACTTTTGTATGTGACGTGTGACCTGTGAGCTGTGTGTGTGTGCCCCTGAACACAAGTAAACAAGTGACGAACACTCCAATTTTTCAACAGGCTCCCGCGTTCCGACACTCACTGGCTCAGACTCACAAACCGATGCAGATGAAGATCTCAGATGTGCCGAGACAAAATGTGCTTGTGGCCGGCCGGAGAGTTCGTGAGTTGGGGCACGGAAGCGCGGGTACAGACGCATGCCGCGCCCTTTTTCCGGGTCTCTCACGCGTCGGTGGCGAAAAGCAGCAGTCTCACTCGACGTCGTCGTCCTCGCTCATGGCGTCGTCGCTCCCCGCGAGGGAGCCATGGAGGGAGCTCTCCGGGCGGCTGCTGCTCGTGCCTGCCTTGCCGCCCTTGTCCGCCTTGGCCTTGTCGGCCGCCTTCTTCGCCTCTACCTTGGGGTCGAGGCAGAAGGTGACCGTCTGCGCGTAGCCGTACGACGACACACCTCCCGTCTTGGTCACGCTGGCATTGGCCGGCGTCAGGCGCGGGAAGCGCTCGCGGTCCGCGCAGAGCGCCGCCGCGAGAGCGAGCGCTCCCTCGGGCCCGCTCTCGCGGCAGGCAAAGTGGACGCGGCGGAGCTGCGGGAGGCCTGCGATGAGGTGTCGGACGCCGTGAGCACCATCGAGGCGAGAGTGAGCTCGACGAGGCTCGTTGGCAGCTCGGCGAGGGCGCCGTCGACGCCTGGGAAGGGGTCCATGCGCTTCCCCTCCTTTCTCTCGCGGCCGCTGACGTACATCGAGCCGTGGTGGATGCAGAGCGTCTCGACGACTGGCGTCGCGGCGAAGATGGTGCGGAGAAAGCTGCCGAGCTTCTCCGAGGTGAGGTGGCCGCCGCTGTAGCTGGCGATGAGCCTCGTGATTGAGAGCTCGAGGAGGCGAGCGAAGGGCTGCGCGAGCTGGCGAAAGGGCTGAGCGTTGGAGAGCCACATCGTGATCTTGAGCTTCTCGAGCTCAGGGAACTGAGAGGGCAACGCCTCGAGAGCTGGCCAGCCGATTCGGCCGCTCCAGCCGCCCGAAAGGTCGAGCGAGGCGAGGAGGGGCGCCGCGTCGCCGCCTCGGTTCTTGCGCCAAGCGTTCGAGAGCTGGCGCAGGACATCCGCTGCGGGGCGGGGCACGGACGGATTAGGGGGACGAATGAGGGTGGGGTGGGGTGGGATGAGGTGGCGGGATTTGAACACCGTCGCAGGTCATGCTCAGCGAGGTGAGATGCGTGGCCTGCCCCAGCAGCCCCACGGTGTCGAAAGGGGTCGCGCCGCACTCGCGGTACGTGAAGCTCTCCAGCGTTGACGCCCACGGCTGCTTTGCCGCAAGGGTGAACACCGCCGCGGTGGCCTTCTTTCCGCCGAGGTCGAGGCTGGTGAGGTTCTTGAAGTGGAAGAGCGTCTTCTTCAGGACGTCGGGCGCGAGGGAGGCGTGTTTGTCGCCCGAGGCTATGCGAAGGCTGCGCACCGTGGTGGCGGCGTCCGGCAGAAACTTCAGGAGGCGACAACGACGCCCCACGCCCCAAACCAGTACTATCCGGGCCTCTGGGGCTACGTCCTGGTGCTAACTCCACGGAGGCGCCGCCTAAGCGACTCCTTCCTGCGAGGGGGGCGAGAGGCACTTTAGCTCCGTGCATGCACTCGAGACAAGAAATCATAGCTCTGACTGTGATTTGGGCTCGGCAGCCCTCAGCCGAAGCTGGGGCCAGTCCAAAAATCTCTCTCGAGACCGCCCGCGGCCCTCGCCACTCGCAAGAAGCTCATTGACGATAGGAAAGAGTTCTTCTCTCTCTCTCTCTCTCTCTCTCTCTCTCTCTCTCTCTCTCTCTCTCTCTCTCTCTCTCTCTCTCTCTCTCTCTCTCTCTCTTGACGATCTGCTCTGCGTGCGATTGCCGTGTGGAGAACGACTGAGATACGCTGCTTCTGCAGCCCAAGCGCGGCAAGCCAATTCTTGGGGGGTCCAAGTCACTTCAATGTGAGGTACCGGGACCGGGAACCCGAGTCAATTTTGTTCTGCAGCACATTCGCTGCCTGCTAGAGGAGATCGCGCGGACCCCCTTCCCGAACCCGCAGACCGAGCGACTCCGTCTCCGAACAGCAGCAGCTCAAGCCGGCAAGCGCGAAGTGAGACTATCTAGAGAAAAGCCGTTTGATTTAAATGTCGACGTCCCTGTCGTAGCGTATTCGCCGCCGTAGGTGGTATGGGACGGTAAGGCCATACACTCTATGCGACGGTCGCCGCCCTACCCCACTCGGCACTCCCCACCGTGTCTGCCCCCCCCTTCACGACCCTTCTCGTCCCCGCGGCTAGAGAGAGACCTATAAGTGTAGTATCTAGTATGCCACACTCGAAGGGGTCCCCGGCCCCCTTTTGCTCTAAAAAGCCGCTAAAGCCGAGCCTTCGGGTGTGGGTAAAACAAAAGAAGAGCGCAGCCTCACTCCTCCTCGCCGTCGCTCTGATCCTCGGGCGGCATTTGCTGCTCAATCGAGCGCAGCACCTACATGGGCGAGTGGCGCGGCGCGCTAGAGCGGTGGCGTTGGCAGCCAAGGCTCCGGGGGCGGCGCCTGTGCGATGCGTAGCGCGCTCTGCGAGTCGACGCCGTAACGTGCGCAGGCTAGCCTCTGCGCCCGGCCGAGGGCGAGCCTACGGGTGACGTGGCGACAGAACGCTGAAAGGGTGGGCAGGGCATGTAAAGGGAGGGGGCCGTGCGTGTGCTCGTTGACACCTCGCGTCGCGCCATCGACCGAGCGCCACCAAGGCGTGGCACAGCTTTTCGCACGGAGCGATGAGCCGCTCGTCGTGTGGCCCATGCAGCAGCTCGAGCACCGTCACGACGTGCTCGTAGTCAGCCGCCGCCGCCTCGTGCCGCTGCTGGCGCATCCGAATCGACGCGAGCTCGGCCCAGAGCGCGGCGCTGCGGTGGTCGCAGCAGCCAAAGGCGTGCTCCGTGTACCCGATGGCCGAGACAAGCGCCGCCTCCGCCTGACCCCAGGCCTCAAGCTCGATGCACGCCTCGGCTAGCTGCAAGCGCAGCCGAGCCGCCTCCATGGTCCCCGCCGGCGCAGCCTCTACCTCGCTCCCCGCGAGCAGCGCTATGGCTTCGCGGCGAAGCCGGGCGGCGCGCAGGGAGCTGGGGGAGTTGTCGCGACCCGAAGAGGCCACCTTTGCCTCGAGGAGCATATTGCTGGCGAGCTCTCGGCGCGTCTCATCGAGAGCCGCTGACTCTGCGGCGGTCGGGTCGTTCACGCCCTTCGCGCTGCGGATCTGTAGCTCGCGTGCTAGGAGGCGCCGGGCCAGCGCAAAATCGGACGAGCGGCCAACGGCCATACGCGCCCAGCCGCGCAGCACCGGGCAGCACGCCACGTGTCCGCGTCCAAACACTCGGTGCATAGCGAGCAGCGAACGGTGGTAGGCATCGGCCGCTCGCTTGTACAGCGTCGCAGCATTGCCTCGTGCTTTCTGGCTGGTCCTGCCTCGCCTCCCCGGCGCCAGCACCGCGCGGGACAGGCTGTCGGCGAGCGCGAGCAGCGCCTTGGGCAGCAGCGCCTCGGCCTCTGGGCGGGCGGCGGACGCTAGCAGCATCGACTCGGCGCGCTCGGCATGCGGGATGGCAGGGAAGGGCATACCCGCGTCCAGATAGGCTCGTGCGAGCAGGAACGACGCGCGGCCGAGCTGGAAAAGGTCGTCGGCCCATGCGATTTGTGTGAGGGCGAGGCACTCGCACCGCCAGCCCACAAGGTCGAGAGCCGAGGCGGAAGTTGCGTGGTCGATGCGCCCCTCGAGCTCGCGGACACGCACCTCGGGCGACGAGTGCAGCTCCTCCTCCTCCTCCTGGGCCTCGTCCAGAACGAGGCCGGCCGGCGCGCCGCGAGCGAGCTGGGCGACCATGACAACCGTCGCGTTGTGTAACCGTAAAAACGTCCATCGTCTCCCGGCCCTGGATGTGTGGCTGCCAACTGCACTCCAAGTGCTCCAAGCCCAAGTGCTCCAAGATCTCGGCAATTCGCCATTGTTCGGGTTTTAGTAAAAGCCTTCGCGCATCATGTGAAACGAACACGACGTATGATATCACTCCCAGCCCTGCTCCTCGCTCCCTGCTCCTCCTCGCCGCTCCACCACACGCAGCACCTCGGCGCTCTCGGCCATCGCCTCGTGGTACCGCGCCGGGTCGCCAAAGTCAGTCTCGCGCAGCGGCTGCACCAGCGTCGCGCGGTCGGCCCGCTCGCCGTCCGCGTCGCCCTCGCAGCGGAAGGGGCCGACGCGCGTCCGGACGAGCCCGGTCATGTGCGCCGCCGAGCCGACTGCGCGGCCGAGGTCGACGATGAGCGTGCGGACGTATGTGCCTCCCGCGCAGTCGACGAGCAGCTCAAAGGAGCCGCTCTCGGCGTCGAAGCGAGACACCTCCAGCGAGTGCACCGTCACCCGGCGCGGCTCGACGTCGCCCTCCTCGATCTTGCCCGCGCGCGCAAGCTCGTGCAGCGGCTTGCCGCCGCGCTTGAGCGCAGAGTAGATGGGCGGACGCTGCAGGATGGAGCCGGTGAGCCCGGCCGCGGCGTCGCGCAGCGCAGCCAGCGTCACGTGCTCCGCCGGCTCGCTCCGCGTGATGGCGCCGCTCGAGTCTTGCGTGTCGGTCTCGGTGCCGAGGCGGGCGGTGGCGCGGTACGCCTTGCCGCCCTTGAGGTAGCCTTCGAGGCCCTTGCAGCCGGTGCCGATGCCGAGCACGAGCAGGCCCTCGGCCAGCGGGTCGAGGGTGCCGCCGTGCCCAACCTTGAGCCGTGAACGGCGGCGAAACGTGTGGCCCGCCTTCTTCAGGTCCGCCTCGAGGCAGCCCCGCGCCTTTGCGACGACGTCGAAGCTCGTCCAGTTGGTCGGCTTGTACGCGACCACGATGCCGTCCGGCTTGGGTGGCAGCGTCGCGGCGGCGGTGGCGGCAGAGGCGGGCCGGCGCGCCGGCGGGTCCGTCTGCCGAGCGAAGCTGGCCTCGCACGCGAGCGGCTTGCGCGTGCGCACGCCGACGGCGCGGCTGCTGGCGCTGAGCTGCCGGCTGAGGGCCGGACGCCAGGCGAGCGAGCAGGCCAGGTGGAGCGAGAGGACCACCATTCGGTTAGAGGCGGCACGTTCGCGTCACTAGCCAGCAGCACCGATTGGCAGCATTCACGCACTCCGGGCCCTGGGTTCGTTGGGTGGTCCCCCACTCTGCGCACTCCAGGCCTCCAGAAGTTGGTTGGTTGGTCCCGCACTCTCCGCACACATATGGTCTATTACACACATAACCAGACAGCCCCTCCCGACGGGGCGTTGCGTCCAGTGGTGCGCGGGTGCGCCAGGTCCGATGAGGTCGCAAAGCACGGGCATCGTGGGCGCCCAGCCTTAGGTCTCTCGCGGCCCGCGCGACACTTCCGAGAGATTTCTTCGTGCTTTCACAGAGGGGGGGGGGCTGGTTGGCTGGTCCCGCACTTCGCGCACTCGGGCCCGGAAACAGTTGGTTGGTTGGTGGGGTCTTTTGCGCAGTGTGCGTGAATAGGGTTGGCAGCTTGGCAAAACCCTCGGGTGCAGCGCCGGGGACCAGGCCAAAAAGAATTCCAGCCAGGTGTAGGTTCTTTTTGCTTGGGCGGCACTCATGACGGGGTAGGTAGGGTAGGTCTGGGCCCTTCCGTCGGGGTTTTCCCTCTCTTCACGCCGGAATTTTCGCAGCAGAAAAAGAAATTTTCCGCGGAAATCACGATGTCAACCCTCCCCAAATGGGTGATCTGATGCTTGTAGGGCTTGAGAGTGGCCTGCCATGTCACAAGAAGGACTGTGGTTGCAAGAGAGTACCACCAAGCAGCACTTTAGTTGGTATAGTACCCCACCTTCACCCATCCCGTGATTTCTTTTTTAGTTCCCCATAAGTAAGGTAGGTAGGTAGGTAGGTTGGGGCACCGCAGGGGCCGGCCAGGTTTTTCCAGAATTTCATCATGATACCCGGCCAAGCAAAAAGACAACAATATTGCTAAAAATCCTCAAAAAGAACCTACGCCTGACTGACGCTCATTTCTCGATTTGGTGCGAGGTGGCATGAAGGTCGCTGCAAGAATTGGTGATAAACTGCGGAGAGAGATAGGAAGTGGTAGACGCCCGAGGGTGGGCGACGGCTAACACCACACTTCTCCCCTAAAATCCCTGTGTGGTGGCGGCGTACCGTCCTCCCATCCCTCCCTGGGGCGCCTGTTTTCTTTCTTTCTTTTTCGATTTGGTGCGGCGTGAGATTTCGGGCCGGGGGTTGTGCGTTTACGTGAGATCGTGCGAGTGGGGCGCGCTGGTGTGGCGCGCTAGCTCATTCGTGCGCGTTCGCGTGCCAGCCATGCGAGGTGTCAGCCTGCTACTAACCTGCTTCCTAAAAATTGCCGCCGCTCTGAGGTGGCCCGTCACGGTGGTGGTCGGCGGCCAAACACACATTCTCTCCGTGTCGTCAAACGAGCCTGTGCTTGCTGCCGTCGAGAGAGCCGGACTCCTACCAGACTCGAGCTGCCGCCGCGGCGCTTGCCTCTCGTGCGCGGCGCGTGTGCTGTCGGGCTCGCCGTGGTCTCTTCGGGTCGACTCGAGCACCGCACTGTGCTCCGCTGCTCACGAGAAGGCACCGCGCACAACCAGATAATGCGGCACCGCACACACGGCCCGACCCGTCCCTCGCGTGCGACTCTAGGGGCTCGTGCTACTGTGCTCCTCGTACGTGGTGGGCGACGGCCTCTCTCTCGCGCTGGACGCCGCTTGCGATGCGCTCGATGTGCAGCACCGGCAGCGCTTCAGCAAGAAAGAGCGTCCGCGCGGGAGGGAGGGTGCAGGGCCGCCGGTTGCATTCCGCCGGCTTGAGGCAGAAGAGTGGCTCGAGCAGGCATGGGAGCTGCCACCGCGAGAAGGTGGTGTGGGAGGCCAAATCTCTGACAGGGAGTAGGTGAGCGGCGCGCCACCGATCACAACGCGTGCCATGTGGATATGTGGTGTGTCCTGGTCGCTGGTGTGTGATATCTGTACGGCGTCCAGTCAGCGTCGCCGCCGCGAGCTCCGCAGACTGTGTCGAGATACAGCTCGCTGCGTAGCAGCGAGCGGCTTAGTTGTGGCCCGATAGAATCTCTTCGCTCTTTGGTAGTTGGTTTTTTCGGAACACAACCAAAACTCCAAAGCCTCATCGCTCATGCTGAGGCCTGTGAGCTGTGTGAGAGGGGGAGAGCGGACTCGAGAGTACACACCCCTCACACCCTGCAGCGTGAAGGAAATAAATAAAAACGGACACCTCTACACTGTGCGATGGGTAAAAAGGAACAGGTGTGTCCCCGCCCGTGTGCGATCTTTGTGCAGGGTTCTCTGTGGGTGTGGTCGGCGACTAGCCGGGGTCGTCAGGGTGAAGGAGAGTTCATGTGCCCATGAGCACTTGGAGCATGACGAGAGATTTTTATCTCTCGGACTGCTCTCGGAGACGGGGGGAGACCGCGACATGCAGATGTGGGCGGCGGGCAGGGGGGTTCTCTCGCGCGCGAGCTGGTGGCCCACCCGATGCGCGAGATTTCCTGAGTGTTGTGTGTGTTTACAACCACGCACTGTCGCAGTACGCGCAGCAGAAGGTGGAAAGCGACTAGCGAGCTGCGAGCAGCGAGCGCACAGTGGTCCGGCCCACAGCGCTCCCCCCTCCCCCCCCGAGTCTCTGCCTGTGCATTAGCTCCCGGCCTGCGCGAATTTCTTTGTGTGTAATGATGCCGCTGCGCACAATTATGCCCATGGGCTTAGCAGGACCCTTGCCCGGCAGCAAGGAGCGCCGGTATCGCGGCCTGCCGCGCGTCTGCCCCGGCTCGGAGCGTGTGGAATCGGTGATCGGCGAGCGCCTCATCGAGCATCGGGGAGGCGCGATGCCGCGAGTCCTCGGCCGGCTCTACCGCAGTCAGCGGATGGCGTGCGCCAGGGCGCGGGGCTCGCCTCGCATTCGGCCGCGGCGCCAGCCCGTTGAGCAGCAATAGCGTGTGGCCGAGCGGGATCCCCACCCGCTCGCAGTCCTCCCGCGCCAAGAGTGGCAGCACCGCCGCGGTGACCTTGGCGTCGAGGAGCGCGCCCTCGTACGCCTCGAGGGCGGGGTCGATGCTGCGGAGCGCCTTGGCGAGCGCATGCGCCTCCTCGTCCGCTGGAGCTAGGCGGGTGCTCCCCTCGCCGTGGTGGAGGAGGGTGAGGGAGTACTGGCCGAACATCATGTAGACGAGGAGGCCGAACACGACGATAAAGACGCAGTACACGACCACGTTTTTGAAGCTCACGATCAGCATCCCGCTCTCTAAGCAGCTGTCCATTTCGTCGGCGGTCACCTCAAGCAACTCTCCGCTCTCCGCGTCGTACACCAGATCCAATTCCCTTGGAACGTAGAGGTCGTTGGAGCAGTAGTGCGGGAATGCAATTTCGGCATAGCAGGCGTACCTACGGTCAACCGTGCATGCACGATACGTACGGGAGAGCTTGCTCGCGTGTGTGGGTGTGCGTGCGAGTGTGCGGGCGCGCATCCAGAAGAAGAGGAGGACGCCAGCGACCAGCGTGAGCATGCTCATGAGTATCAGCGGCGTGAAGACCACCCGCCACCGCGCAAGAAACTGCTCGTCCCTCCGGCACGGCGAAAGGCTCAGCGAGAAGGCGACGGTGGTCGAGAGGACCCAGGAGATGGTGAGCAATGCGACCGAGAGCTGGCCGGAGGCGTAGATGCCGTGAGAACGGAAGCCATGCATGTCGTGCCCCGGCTCGAGGCCCAGGTAGAAGGCGTCTGCGTCGACAAAGTCGTTCTTGCCGAGAGACCCGCCGGTGAGTGTGCCGACAGCAAAGCCGAGGAGGAGCGTGTTGGAGAGCAGGAGCGTGTCGGTCGCGTGCACAACGTCATCGACGTCCATTCTGAACCCAATGAAATCTCTCGAGAAGTGCGCGAGCGAACGGCGGTGGGCGGCTGCGCTGCAAAAGCGCCCGGTGGAGGGCATTGCCCGAAGGGGCTCGCCGCCGCGGTGCCGGTGGTGGAGGGCGTTACGCGTTTAGAGGGTACCGACCAAAGAAACCCTCAAAGCGTGTCTCCCTTTGTTTGCTTCATCACGACGAGAGTGGGACGACCGCGAGGTGGCATGAAGGTTGCAGCGAGAAGCGGCGAGAGACTACGAAGAGAGATAGGAAGAGGCAGACTCCCTAGGGTGGGCGACGGCTAGCGCACCACACACCTCTCCTTAAAATCCCTGTGTGGTGGCGGCGTGCCGTCCTCCCATCCCTCCCTTGGGTTGGCTGTTTTCTTTCTTTCTTTCTTTTGCTTCATCATGTGCCGTCCTCCCATCCCTCCCTTGGGTTGTCTGTTTTCTTTCTTTCTTTCTGCTTCATCATAGCGCATCACACCCCTCTCCTTAAAATCCCTGTGTGGTGGCGGCGTGCCGTCCTCCCATCCCTCCCTTGGCGTGTCCGTTTTCTTTCTTTCTTGCTTCATCATAGAATAAATAAATAAATAAAGCGGACACACCAAACAAGGGGTGGGAGAAGGACAGGGTCCCCACCTGCGCGAGCAGGATCTTGCTTCATCATAGATCTAGCATAGAAGGAGTTTCGGACTTCTTTTTCTCTTCCGCTGCTGACTCACACAGGGCCATCCATGGAGCCGCACAGAACGACAACGAGCGCCGCGAGCGAGCGAGAGAGATTTTTGAAGATCAACAAGAAATCACGACTGTCACAGTGATTTGGGCTCGGCAGCTTGTCAGCCCTCAGCCGAAGCTGGGGCCGGTCCCGTAGCCGAGAGAGCCCGCGTCGATGAGTTCGACGCGGTCGGGAGGCCTTGCGGAGAGGCCAGCGAGGTGGCCGGATCGCTGTACTTCATGGTGCCCTCGGTGGGGCGGCTGACAAGCCAGAGGTCGATACTCTGGACGACCCATAGATAGGATGCTCTATTCGCGCGCGTGCACCTAAATAAAAGAAAGAAGAATTGCGTGAGGACGGCACGCCGCCACCACACAGAGATTTTAAGGAGAGGGGTGTGGTGCGCTAGCCGTCGCCCACCCTTGGGCGTCTGCCTCTTCCTATCTCTCGAAAGAAAACAAGCAGCAAATTCTTTCGCCTGCTGAGTCATCCATGCGAGCGCGAGCAGTCGTGTTCGTTGGCCTGTTCGCGGCTGCCTCGGCGGTGGACCACGCCAAGTTCCGGACCTGCGAGAAGACCTCCTTCTGCCGCCGCCATCGCAAGGCGGAGGCAGCGCGGCAGTTTCTCATCCCGCCGGGGTCCGCGTCGGTCGACAGCACAGGACGGGTGAGCGCGCAGCTCCACGGCGGGCCGCACGGCGTCCCTCTGACGCTGGAGCTGGCGGGCTTCGAGAGCGGGGCGTTCCGGCTTCGCCTGACCGAGACCAAGCCGCTGCATGGGCCGCGGTGGGAGCCCGACGACATCCTGATGGACCCGCCCTCTGCGCAGCTGGTCGCGCTCGAGGCGTCGGCGGCAGCGGTTCCAGAGGCGCTGCGGCCGTCCGTCGCGTCCGGCGAGGCGAGCGTGTACGCGCTGCGCCGCTCGGACGGCTCCGACGGGCCCGGCGTGGTCTCGCTGCAGCTCCACCCCTTCCGCGCCGCGCTGCACGTGGCTGGCGAACCGGTCGTGGAGCTCAACCCCGAGGGCAAGTTCTACTTTGAGCACCACCGCGCAAAGGGGGAGGGCGCGGCGGCGGCGGCGGTGGCGCCCCCGGACGAGGCGGACGTGCACGGCGGCAAGACCATCGTCGACTACGGAGAGGACGGCCTCGCCGTCTACTCTGACGGCACAAAGCAGCAGCGCGCCTCAGAGGCGGAGGCCGAGGCGGCGCCGGCGGCGGAGGAGGGCAAGGCGGCGGGCAAGGAGGAGGAGGGGCTGTGGGAGGAGTCCTTCGGCTCGCACCGCGACTCGAAGCCCTTCGGGCCCGCCTCGGTCGGCATGGACATGCGGTTCGGAGGCACGCAGCACCTGTTTGGCCTCGCGGAGCACACTGCGCCCTTCAACCTGCCCTCGACGAGCGGGGACGGGGCCAAGTACGCCGAGCCGTACCGGCTGTGGACGCTGGACGTGTACGACTACGAGCTCGACTCGCCGATGGCGCTCTACGGCGGAGTCCCCCTCCTCCTCGCCCACGCGCCCAACCGCACCACCGGCGCGCTCTCGCTCTCACGCTCTTGCTGCTCACACCTGCTTCCGCTCTCACACTGGCTTGAAGCCGCTGCCCCCTCCCCTCTGACCCTTCGCGGCGCCCTCCCGCAGGCGCGCTCTGGTTCAACCCGACCGAGACGTACGTCGACGTCTCGCGCGTGCCGCCCCCCTCCGGCTCCTGGCTCGGCGGGGGGGCGCCCGCCGGAGAGCGCGGCTCCACCTCCGCCTACTGGATGTCGGAGAGCGGCGTCGTGGACGTGTTTCTGCTGCCGGGGCCGTCGCCGCAGGAGCTGTTTGCGCAGTACGCCTCGCTGACGGGGTACACGCCGCTGCCGCCCCTCTTCTCGCTCGGCTACCACCAGTGCCGCTGGAACTACAACGACGAGGCGGACGTCCGGTGCGTGCACGGCCGGCACCGAGCGGCGCCGACTCACTCACGGGAGTGATCCGGGAGGAGTGACCATGAGTAGGTACGTGCACGGCCAGTTCGAGGAGCTCGACCTGCCGTACGACGTGCTCTGGCTCGACATCGAGCACACCGACGGCAAGCGCTACTTCACGTGGGACAGCTTCAAGTTCCCGAAGCCTAAGGAGATGCAGGCCGAGCTCGCCGCCACCGGCCGCAAGATGGTGACCATCGTCGACCCGCACATCAAGCGCGACTCGAACTACAAGGTGTACCAGGAGGCGCACGAGAAGAAGCTCTTTATCCAAAACAAGGACGGCGCCGAGTTCAACGGCTGGTGCTGGCCGGGCGACTCTGCGTACCTCGACTTCACCTCGGCGGCGGTGCGGGACTGGTGGGCGGGCCGCTTCGCCTACGACGTGTACGAGGGGTCGACGCCGAGCCTGTACACGTGGAACGACATGAACGAGCCCTCCGTCTTCAACGGGCCCGAGGTGTCGATGCAGAAGGACGCAAAGTCGCTCTCCGGCGTCGAGCACCGCGAGTGGCACAACCTGTACGGCATGTACATGCAGCGCGCCACGGCGGAGGGGCTGCTGCAGCGCAACGAGAAGCGGGACAAGCGGCCCTTCGTGCTCTCGCGCTCCTTCTACGCCGGCTCGCAGCGCTGGGGCGCCATCTGGACCGGCGACAACGCGTGCAAGTGGGACCACCTCGTCGCGTCGGTGCCGATGCTGCTCACGCTCGGTCTGTGCGGCATCACCTTCTCGGGCGCGGACGTGGGCGGCTTCCTCGGCAAGGGGGGCGGGTACGGCGACCCGGACGCGGAGCTCTTCACGCGCTGGTTCGAGGCGGGCGCCTACACCCCCTTCTTCCGCGGCCACGCGCACCACGACTCCGCGCGGCGCGAGCCGTGGACCTTTGGCGACGAGACGACGCAGACGCTGCGCGAGGTGGCGAAGGAGCGGTACCAGCTGCTCGCCTACTGGTACACCGTCTTCCGCCACGCCGAGCAGACGGGCACGCCCACGATGCGGCCGCTCTGGGTGCACTACCCCGCCGACGAAAAGACGTGGGACATGTCGGACCAGTGGCTCGTCGGCTCGGACCTGCTCGTGCGGCCAGTCACGCAGCAGGGCGCAACCTCGGCGCCCGTCTACCTGCCCGGCTCGCAGCCGTGGTACGCGGTGCGCGACGGCACCAAGCACGCCGCGCCCGCCACGCCGACGGTCGAGGCGCCGCTCGGCGCCGTCCCCGTCTTCCAGCGCGGCGGCTCCATCCTCCCGCGCCAGATGCGGCTGCGGCGCGCCTCGTCGCTGATGAAGCTCGACCCGTACACGCTCGTCGTCGCGCCCGACGCGGACGGCGCCGCCGCCGGGACGCTCTACCTCGACGCGGGCGACGGCTTCGAGTACCTCGACGGCGCCTACGCGGAGCGCCGCTACGAGCTCGCGGCCGGAGTGCTCACTTCGACGGCGGTGCACGCGTCGGACGCATTCACGCCGCCGAACATGCTCGAGCGGCTGGAGCTGCTCGGCACAAAGCCGCCCGGGAAGGTGCTGCTCGAGTCCGGCGGCGAGACGCGCGAGCTGGAGGCGACGTGGTCCGAGGCCACGGGCCGCACTGTCGTGCGCAAGCCGGGCGTGCCGATGGCGGCTGACTGGACCATCCGCCTCGTCGCTTGACCGTCGAAACCGGCAGCGATGACGGTGGAGAGAGCGGGAGAGCGCGAGCGGCGGCCGAAGAGGAGCTTTTAGGGAGGCGAGAGCCTCGCTCCTCGCCGCGTGGCGGACAGGGGAGGTGGCCGGGACGGGGCGTCAAGTGTAGTGGGTGGTCGACGGACGCCACGAGCAAGTCCAAGTCGCAAGTGCGTTCTGGGGTACACGTTTGTCGTTTCCTCTCCGAGGTAAGCGCGGCCCATAGTTATTTCCTCGCTGTTTGCGCCGCCTTGGAGAATCTGTGGTGCCGCCCTGGATCTCACAAGTTTCGGTACTTGGAGCACTTGCGCCAGTGCGTCGTGTGTGGGAACTCGCCGTTTTTTTCTCGTTGCTCTGACTCGGCGCTTCTTTGCTCTCAATGGCGAGTGTCGGGCTCTCCCTCTCCGGCCAGCCGTCCGCGCTGGCTCCCGGGCCCTGCGGCAGCGGCGGCGCAGGGACCGCGCGCCAGCTCGACTTTTCCACCAACCTGCTCCTCGGGGGCGGCGGGGCCGACAGCGAGGATGAGGACCTGTTCGGCGCAAAGAGCCGCCAGGCGGCCGCCGAGCTGGGAGCGCAGCACGCGGCAGCACGGACCCTCCCATCTGGCTCGAGTGAGGTCGAGGCCGCGTCGCCTGGCCTGCTCGAGAGCGGCCCGCCTGCATCGGCTGCGCCGGCTGCGAGCGCCGTCTCGCAGGTGCCGAGCGAGCCGCCTGCTCCCAATACCGAGCAAGTGACGACTCCAAGCCCTCCTCGTGCGCGCGACCTCGCCCCGAGTGCGGCCACCTCCGTTGGGGATGTCGCTCCACGCGCGGTCGACGCCGTGCCAATCACGCCGCCCGCACGCCAAGAGCAGCAGCGGGCAACCTCCTCCGCTCCTCTGCCTCCGCGCCCGGCAGCGCCGCCGGACCGCGTCTTGGCCTCGGCGCCAGGGGCCATGCCGCCGCCCGCGCCGCGCCTGACGCCGCAGCCCGTCTCGCTCGGAGGGGGCGCGGCGCTGACGCGGCGTCCGCTGGGCGGGCAGCTGACGAGCCTGATTGGATCGGGCGCCTTTGGGCCAGCGCCCACTCCTGCGCTCAGCCCGCAGCTCGCATCGTCGCGCCTTCTGGCGGCGCCCGCACGCAGGGCCGGCTCTTCCCCGCTTGTGCACGGTGGGCTAGCGCGCGCTCCAAGCAGCCTGGCATCTCGAAGCGAGGGACTCCCGATTCGTCCCGGCAGCCACGCCCTTGCGGCCGCCTCACTCCAGTCGCAGCGGCCGGCGGCGGCGCATCGGGCAGGCCTCCCCGCCGCGTGCCTTCCCTCCCCGCGGGCAGGCCCGCTCCATGCCGCACCACCCGAGGCAGTACCGGGTGGCGAGCGGGAGCGCATCGGCACCGGCGCTGCGGCGACTTCCCCCGTCCAAGCACGCATCGGTCTCTCGCCCGAGTCCGCCGATGGCGCGGGCATCAGCGACGGGGCTCAGCGGCTCCAGATATCGCCTGCGACGCTGAAGCTGAGCAAGCAGTCGCGCGAGCAGGTGCCGACGCTCAACAAGATGAAGCAGCAGCTGCACCGGTTCCAGACGCAGTTTGCGCAGATGACCAACGAAGCGCTGCTCGAGGCACGCTCCAGGGAGGTGTGGGTTCGCAATATTCACAGCACAGACTTGCACCGGTCGATGCACAGGCGTGGGACCCAGAGACTGAGTACGCGATGCATCGCCTCCGCGAAGAGCTCCTGGCAGTCAAGCAGGCCGAGCACGACGCCGACGCCAACAGCGACGACCCGATGGCTTGTTCCAAACGAAGAGCATGGCCGTCTCCAAAGTGCAAGACATGTTCTGTGAGAGCGTGTGTGCGTGATTATAGGACATCGATGACGAGGCCCCGGTGCACGCTCAGCTCACCAAGGAGCTGGAGATGCGCAGCCCCTCTGGGGCCGCTGCCTCGAGGATGGAGACCGAGGCGCCATCGCCGGCCGCTTCGTGTTCGGTGGTTGCTCGCCCAGCCACGGTGGCCGTCAATGAAGGCACCCACCCTCGGCGCGTGGCCCCTTTCAGGCTGCGAGTACCTACTCCTCCTCCACGTGATTCGCACGACACTGGCGCAACCGTCGGCCGCAGCCCGAGCGCCGCGGGGAACGCGGGAAGCGTCGAACGATTCAGGGGAAGAGCCAAAGGTGTGATGTCTGGTGCAGAGAAGGGAGAGGCCGCGGGGGCGAGGCAAAGCGTCCTCGCGCGCCAAGGAGCGGGCCTTCTTGCTCGGCGACCAACCATGAGGCCGGCCTTTGAGCCGTGTTGACGGCGAAGACGGGCGAGGGCACAACACAATATGCAGAGACATATACACTGAGAGAGAGTTGAGAACTGAGAGTTGTCGGAGTGAGGCCGTCCCGTTTTGATCTCTCGGTCAGTGGGGGGCCGAGCAGCCTCGGGGTCGGCGGGCGGGCGGGCGTGTTGAAAAATAGAAAACAGAAAACAAGACTCAAGTGTCAAGAGGGGACCCGGGCGGGCCCGGCCCCCCAGGAGCGGCCGCACACTGCTCGGTACCCCCCCTGCACACCTAAGCCCATGGCCGACCCCCCCCCCCCCCCCAGCAGCAGCGCTCTGCCTGTGGGGGGTGCTGGCATCTCTGTGTACAGACAGCAGCTGTAAGTAGCATGCGTTCGAGTTGCGAGAATTTATGGCCGGCATCAAAATCAGTGGTCTCACCGGCGGGGCCTCCTACTGCCAACCGGGCGGTGCGGGGCACGCCAGCCTCTCTTCTACGCCTCTCGTGCCTCGCGGCGCCTCTGCGTCAAGGAGGGAAGATACGGCTCTCGCAGCCCATCATACGCCGTGGCACAGCGGAGAGCACAGCGGGCTGATCAAGACCATCGGATAGTGCTCAATATCTTCGCATGCTCGTCGTTGGTGATATCCGGGCGAGGTCATACGCCACAGGCCAGCAATCACTCGGTGATGAGACTATTGATGTAGGCGCGACGCTCTGACACCGAGTGTTGTGTGGTAGTACAAGATAGACTCACCATGGTCACAAGTCTTTAGTAAAACGCCAGCACTCGACACGACGAAGGTGTATTGGGCTCGAAGGCGCGGTGAACACAACTGCCTCGAGCGTACCGCTCAAACACGAGCCGAGGGGGCGGGAGGGGGGGCGGCGGGAGGCGGGAGCTGGGTCCAGTGCGCTCGGCTGCTGGGGGGGTCGGGACCCCCCCCCCAGCAGCAGCGCTCTGCTGCTGGGGGGGTCAGACCCCCCCCCCTAGCAGCAGGGACGGGCTTAGAAGTGCAGGGGGGGTACCGAGCAATGTGCGGCCGCTCCAGCCCACTGGGAGTAGAAAATACGCCCAAGGGGGCCAAGGAGGCAAGGAGGCGGCGCGGGGAAGCAGCATCAGGTGAGAGCAGGAAGGATGGCGCTTAGGGTCGGCTTTGAACAAGGGTTTCCAGGTTTTAGATCAGTATTGGTGTCGGCACACATCCCCACCAAATAGGTCAGCGGCAGTGCCTCTCTCGCAGGCTGATTTTGGCTGTTTTCGAGCTTGTTTTTGTTTTCAGTCTAGGGGGCCCGACCCCCTCAGAGGCGGCGGGCGGGCGCCCACTGACCGAGAGATCAAAACGGGACGGCCAGAGCTGGCAGGCTGCGAGAACCCATGATCACGCCATCCGCCTCGACGGACATCCACAGCTGCCCCCTGCCCGGCACTTTGGCGGGCGCAAGGGCGCAGCCCGGGGCGAACAAATGTAGTGCGCGAACTGCTGTCTGTGCCTGTTGGTAGTACCATGAGCTCATGAGCATGACTGGTATAGAGCTCTCTGCGAGTGCGTGTACTGGCGTGTATACTGTGTGGTTCTGACTGGCGCGCGCTGTAGCTCCCGCCCGGTTGCAACCGAACCGCCGCGGTTCCCCGGGCTGACGCGGTGATGCGGCAGGCACACGCTCACAACACCCATACAAATACGAGGAGACGATCGGATTGGGGTCCGGCATCAACTTTTTTGTGTTTCCTGTCTTTCACAGCGCTTGGTCAGCAGGGTTAGCGCGTCGGCACCCCTCCACCCCACCGCCCTGGAACGACTAACTTCCCGCCTCGCAGCCACCCAAGCCGCCCCCACCAACGTCGTCACGCTCGAGTCGTTCGTCGAGCCGGGCAAAGACGGTCGAAATCGCGTCATTCGAGAAGAGCAGCCCCTCCGGGTCTCGCAACGCGAAGCGACGGCAACGCGGTGCTGCCTCAGCACCGCTGTCGCCCCCGCCGCTCGCCTCCTCCGCCTCCATCACCCACCACTCGGCGGGCAACTCGGCTGCGGCGTCGCGGCACGCGCCCTCGGCCGCGGCGGCGAGCGTCTCGCCGAAGCGCGGCGTCAGCTCCGCCGGCAGCAGCCCCCGCGTGGTGCGGAGCTGCAGCATGATGAGTGTCGTCATCGCTTCGACGCCCTCCTCACGCACGCCCAGCTCCGCCTGCGCTGCCGCGAAGCCCCTATCGCCGGCGGCGGAGGCCGCCGCGCCGCCGCTGCCACGCGTAGTCAACCGCTGGCCACCCGCAGCCCGATGCTGGCGGCCCGCCCCCTCCGCCCCCTCGAGGCGGCGCACAAAGGCCTCGTATGCGTCCATTCGCCGCGGCCGCGCGAGCCGCACGCCGTCGAGGTGCGAAGTGGCGCCCAAGCCGAAAGCAAAGAAAGGCTCATTGCGCCAATAGGCGGAGTTGTGTTGCGAGCGGTGCCCCTCCCGCCCAAAGGAGGAGACCTCGTACCGCTGCAGCCCGTGCGCCTATCGTGCCACTGACCTGGCTAGGACACGTCTCGGACCCTCTGCCCGCGCCCCGCCGCAGCAGCGCGCGCCCTCAGCACAGCCGACGCCTCACGGTACATCTCCGCTGCGAGGGCCTCGTCGGGCAGCGCCTTGAGCGTGCCCGCCTCCGCCCACCGGCCGTACGCAGTGCGCGGCTCCACCTGACCGGCGGAGGGGAAGAGCGACTCGGCGGGTAGGTGCACAGAGGGAGGCGGTGGCGGAGGCGGTGCTCCGCGCGACCTGAAGGTCGTAGACAGAGATGTGCTGCGCGCCCGTCGTGGCGGCCGCATTGAGCGATCGGCGCCACGAGGCGAGGTCCTCGCCCGGGAGGCCGCCTAGTGGGCTCGGGCTCGCACCTCAGGGGGCGTGCCGAGGCACGAGAGCTGCGCCTCTCGCCGCGGCCTCGCCGATCAGGTCGACGCTCACAGAGCGAAGCGGGCTACCGGCCGAGGACTGCGCCTGCATGAGGATCTCGACGGCGGCGCGCGCCTCGGCGGCGTCGTGGGATCGGCCTGCCGACGTTAGCAGCTTGTCGTCGAACGACTGCACGCCGAGGCTCACGCGCGTGACGCCTGCCTCGAGGAAGGCGCGCAGCCGCGCTACATCGAAGGTGCCCGGATCCATCTCGAGCGTGACCTCGCACCCGTCGGCGAGACCATAGGCGTCGCGCAAGCCGTCGACCAGCCCCGCCAGCAGCGGAGGCGGCGTCAGCGACGGCGTGCCGCCACCAAAATACAGGGACGCGAGTGGCGGAGCACCCGGCTGCCGGCTCGGGCTGGCGGCGATCTCCCGGTGGAGGAGCGCGCAATACCGCTCCGCCGCCGCATCCGCAGCACCCGGCTTGGACCCGACGACAGAAATGGGAAAGTCGCAGTAGAAGCAGCGGCGGCGGCAGAAGGGCAGGTGGACGTAGGCGGCTCGAGGCGTTGCTGGCGGCATTGCTGCGGCGGCCGACGTCGTAGACATTGCAACCACCAGCGCATTTCGCACGCGCTGCCGGCGGTGTGGTAGCCACGCGAGCATGCGGCAAGCTACCACCCCGCTTGAAAGAATTTTACGACGCAACTCCCTCGCAGCTTGAAAGAATTTAAACAAAACAAGTCGCTCTCACAGCAGACAGGCTCGACACAGGTGCGAACTGGCGCGTGCTAGTACTATCCCGCTTGAAAGAAGGCAAGGACTTCGTGCATGCTCGGAGACCCGTGTTTACTTTATGCCCCCCTCCCTGCAAACGCGCACCTCCCAAGGGTCAGGGCTTTCCTGCTCGTAGCCCGTCCCCGAGCATCCGGCCCGCTGGGTGCGCTTCTTAAGGTCGTCTTAGCTCCCCGGCCCTGGGATGGATGTGAGTGAGGTTGCCGACTGCACCAAGTGCTCCAAGTACAACGAAACTCCCTCTCACAGCACTAGGCACGGGACTGGCGCGCACTGGCACTAACACCAAAGAAGAAAGCACAATCGCCCGTATCTTTCTCCAAACGCCGTAAAGACAGCGGCGTTCTGACACGGCGGCGTTCTTGTTCTGACAGCGTCGGCGCTGGCCTGCCTGCTCTTCACGCTGGCCACGCACCATGCTGCGCATCGCGAGCAATCGCGTAACACGGAGGGGCGGCGCCGGCCTTTTCTGGCTTTTTTGCGTCGGCTTTTTCGGATTCTCTCCCGCCTTCCTCTATGGGATTTTTTCTTGAACGTAAAGCGAACAGGTCAGGCGGATTCACGTCGCCAGCGAGTGCTGCAGCACAAACCGCGGCGGTGCAAGGCCCACCCTTGACTGCCGCCCGAGACCGTGCGGCGCGGTGGGAGAAGCGAGCAGGCATGGCTCATTTTCCAGGTTGAACCAGCACGATTTGTGAATGAGAGACTGCGTCGGCGTTCTCAGCGTCGCGAGGGCGAGCCCGTTGCGTTGACGGGTGGGGCGGAGAGAGCTTCCTGCTGCAATAGACGGAAGGCTAAGTGCACTGACAGTGCCGGAACTTTGCCTTTGTGCCCCAACGGTCCCCCTGGTACTTCGAAACATGGGTGCCTCAAAAATCTCTGTAGACCTTGACCCTGCAAGTTGAGCCGCCTCGGAGTCCGCCGGATCCTCCTCGTGATCAGAGCAAGAATCAGACTCATCGACGTGAGTCGCCATGCTGAGCGGTCCGCTGTCAGCCTCAACTACCGCCGCTGCAATCTCGCCAGGTTGAGTGGCGACCGTTGGGAGCGCGAGAGCCAGCGCCGCCGTACCTGGACGGGACCCGGCGGATGAGGCCCTCTCGTCGCGCCGACTGGCCGCGCTCCAGCTGCGAGAGGCTCGGGTAGATGATGTGGAGGAGGATGCCCTCGAAGTGGGAGCTACCCACGGCTCGGCAAGGGCCATCTCCGGCAGGGGCACGTTGGTGCTGCAGACAGAGTATTCGGAGCCCTCGCAGGCTGGTTCCTCAGACACGGCCTCCCTCTGAGCTGTGAGTTTCACCCGGCCGACTTGTTGCGGTTGGCATGTGGTCCTGAGCTGCTCGCGCCATTCTCTGCCGCTCACCAGGCGAGGATGGCGCAGCCGTCCAAGCGAGGAGGATCGGAAGCGACCAACTGGCGCGGACTGGTGCTGGCGGTGCATGGTAGGAAGCGAGGCGCAGGAGAGGAGGACCATGTGAGACAGTTGGGGTCGGCCCGCGTGCCGGTTTTGATCGGGGCGGCGGCCCGGCGAGGTGGTCGCAGCGGACGTTACACCCCCCCCCCCCCACCCCAAACACATACGTTTTTGCGCGCCAAAAAGATTGAACCCACTCCAAGTGCCCCCACGGATTACACTTACCTTCTCGGTCCGCGGTGAGCGGTGTGGGTCCTCTGTTGGAGAGAGTTTTTTTAAACCAACAAGAAATCACGACATTCACAGGTGATTTGGGCTCGGCAGCTTGTCAGCCCTCGGCCGAAGCTCTGCTTCCTGCTCTTCTCTTCTTCCTCCGTGGCGCGTCTGGGGGTCTTCTTCTTCCGGAGCCACGGGGGGAGAGTCCAGTCTCCTCGAGCCTGGAGAGTCTCTTTTGTCTTCACAGTTCAACTTATCAGACCCGGGAAGATGTTGTGGCTCGATTGCTAGATCTGAACATCCGTCACTGTTAGATACAATCTGAACACGCTCATACTTCTCAATCAACGCGGGGACAGGCCAACAGCCAGTGGGACGAACGAGGGCCGCGACGACGGCTCAAGCGGGAGGGGGCGGAGACAGTGGGCACGAGCGAGCGAAGTGGGCGAGGACACTGATGATGCACCCTGAGGATGCACCCTGAGGGAGGGTGTAGAGGATGTAGAGTGTAGAGCACTGTAGAGCTGTAGAGATGTAGAGCGCTCTGGAGCGCTGTAGAGCTGTAGAGCTCTACATCCGCCGCGTGACGATGCGGGTGCGTTGTAGAGCGATGTAGAGCGCGATTTTGCTGTAGAGTTTGTTGTAAGAGGCTCTACAGCCAACCCGCCGGGAAGGCAGTGACTCAAAGAGGTCGAGTCGCACTAATGGGGTGTCTCCGAGCTTACTGGAGCTCTGATGGACGGCCCTGACTATCCCTGACACGTGACACACAGAGAGTCACTCTGACGGCACACAACACCCTATAACTGCGTCATGACCAGCCTGCCATGCGTCGCCGGTGCCGCATTCGTCGCAGTGCTTCTGTAGCAGGCGGTGGACTGTCGGCTGCGAGGACGGTCGCATTTGCGCGAGGCGAGGCGAGCATTCAGACGCGTTGCATGCGCCATGACTCGCGCCAGCGCGTGCGGGAGCTCCTGGCTGAGCGTTGAGTCCAGGCGAGTTGCGCTGGCCACGATCGCTACGCCGAGCCGAGCTGACGCGCCGAGGCGCCGGCCAGTCGCAGCCGTGAGGCACGCCACAGCAGCAGAGGCACCTCCCACCCATTGGGCGGGCACACAGAAGGCCAGGGCAGCACTGGCAAGTGCAACGCGCCTCATGTCGGAGAGCGACCGTGCCTCGTTCGCCGCTTATTATGATGTAGAGTTTGTTGTAGAGATTTCACGTTGTACCTTTCCCACAAACGTTTCGAGTGGCGATCCGCCTTCGCTCTTGCGCTGCTCGCTCGCCCGGGCGGAGGGCATGACCGCCGAGGAGGCGAGTGGGCACCTGCCAGGCCTTCCGCAGGCAGCCTCTTGGGCAGACTGAGGGTCGGCTCTGCGTGGCGTGGCCCGTGCGCTGCGCTGCGCAAAGCTGCATGTGCTGTGGGAGCATCTGGTGCTTCCACTGGGAGGTGCGCGCCGCCTGCAGCTGGTGGAGGGCCGTGCCGCCGTGTGCCTGCTCCGTGGACAGGACAGGGAGGCGGCGCCGCAGCGCCATGGCCTCCGCTGCTTGCCGGTGCAGCACTGTGCTGCCTGGTGAGCAGCCTGCTGGTTCTGTGTGCGGCGTTGGCGAGGCTGCAGTGGCACTGTACTGCATGCCACGGCGAGTGGCGTGCGGCGCGCGCGTCGCCGCGCGTGGCACGGGAGGCGCGAGAGGCGCGGCTGTCGGTCAACCCCGCGGCGCATGCGCGCCGCGGAAGCTGCTCGACAGGCGACTTCATTGCGAACGCGGTCGCCGTTACTCCAACTTTGCTTTGCCGATCAAAAGCGCCCGTCCTTTGCTTTTTAGCCGCCGAAATTTAGCATGCTGCTTTTCTTTATAGGTGCCTCGCAGCTGCGTATTCTCGTATTATCTTCGAGTAAGGTATTGCGTGGGGGGACGGTGCGTATTCTCGTATCACTAGCTCCGAGTAGAGGGGGCGTCTGCAGTTAAGGGGAAACCTGGTACACGGGCCAACCCTCCGAGAGTATTCTTTAGCTCCGAGTAGAGGGGGCGTTCCGCAGCTAGGGGAAACCCGGAGCGCAGAGCCAACCCTCGGAGACCCGAGCCGTGTTATGGCCCTGCGAACGCGCACCCCCGGGGCTAGGGCTCTCTTGCCCGTAACCCGATGCCGAGCGTCCGGCCAACTGGGTGCGCTTCTCAGCTCCCCGGTCCTGGGCGTGAGGTTAATGACTGCACTCCAAGTGCTCCAAGTTGTAGAGCGCCTCTACATCGCTCTACAACGCACCCGCATCGTCACGCGGCGGATGTAGAGCTCTACAGCTCCACAGCGCTCCAGAGCGCTCTACATCTCTACAGCTCTACAGCGCTCTACACTCTACATCCTCTACACCCTCCCTCAGGATGCACCTTCGACTTAGGGAGCGGGGTTCAGCCGCTGGGCGGGCTTCAGGGTGGTGCTCACGCGAAAAGGAATCGACGCGATGTGCAAAGCATACAAGAAGGGGAGAAGGAAGAGGAGAGACGCCAGTGATGATGAAGCAGAGACTAGCGAGACGACGGAGGGAGGCGGGAGCACGACTTTTTGCCTCTTTGGACTTTGCGGAGATCACAGACGCAGCAGGAGGATGCGTACGAAGAGATTAGGAGCAGCAGGAACCCGAGGGACCCGATGTGGAAGACGGCTAGTGCTGGCGAGGACGACCCCGGCTAGTCGCCGACCACACCCACAAAGAACCATGCACAAAGATCGCACGGGCGGGGACCTGTTCCTTTTTGCCCATCGCACAGTAGAGGTGTCCGTTTTTATTTATCTCACCACTCCGCCTCGGGCTGCGACTCCACATAGAGACGGAGGTAGCGCTCTGGCGAGGCGTTGTCCGGGGGAAGATGCTCCGCATATAGGTAGGCGACCTGGGCCGGCTGCCGCAGCGTCGCCCGCAGCAGCGCAGAGTGCCCAGCCTCCTCCTACCGGTGCAAACGTCGAGGCGAGGGTGAGGAGGAGGCCGTGTCGCTCTTCAGCACTGTAGACGCACCTCCTTCACAAAGTGCACAAACTCGAATGCCTCGTCGTGCAGCAGCAGCGTGGCTGGCGTCATGCGGCCTATCCCGCCCGCTGCGTCGGAGCTGTTGTCCAGCGGCGCCTGCGCCTTCACCACCCAGACCCCCTGCCTCGGACTCGCTGCTGCCTTGGCAGCAAGCTCCTGCAGCGATGCCAGCATGCCGGGCGCCATTCTCCCAAGCCGATACGTCAAGCCGGAGCCCCGGTCGCCGGAGCCGATGCCCTGGAGCGGCCCGCCGTCGCTGGCGGGCTTGACGGCATTTGCCGGGTCACCGAGCAAGACATCTACGTGCTTGCCTCCTCGCAGCGAAGCAGTGTCGCAGAGAGGGCACGCCGCCAGATTTCGTGCTGCCCTTGGTACACACCTGCGTGCGAGAGTCTGCATACATGCACGTATGCGAACGGAGAGCTACGGACACAAGAATTATATAACGCACGGGCCCTCAGCGGAGCTGGGAAGAGGACCGCCGCAAGCGGCGTGGCGTGGAGCGGTTGAGCATCCCTCCGGGGGCCCCTCTGCGCCGGGGAGGCGTTGTTGGAGGCTAGGACGCAAGCGTCCGTCGAGCCCTTTTCAAACTCGGGGCCCACTCCGCTACGCTCCGACCCGAATTTGGAGGGCCTGAAAAGTTTAAGGTGTTGCTGCGCAAAAGGGGTCGGACACAGGGCGCAGCTCATGCTAAGAGCTAGAAGGGGAGCTAGAGAGAACGACTACCCTGTCCCTCGTACACCATCCGCCGAAGCCGAGCGGCCGGACTCTCCACCGGAATTTGTTGGCGTGCTGTCGCCGCGTCATCCGGCGGCTCCTCCTCTATGAGACGTCCGGGAGCACGCCCTGCCGTCGCCCTCGACGAGCGCCGCACACCTGCGCGGACAGTGGGCAGACGTTTCCGCCATGTGTCCTCGTGTGCCCGAAGAGCCTCAAGCCGGCGCGCACCGGTGGCAGCGCAGGATGAGGCGGCAGCTGTGGAGGGTTGGGGCGCATTTGAAGGCGCTGGCCCCGACGCGCCATTGACTGGGTCGGGGTGGTTCCTCACCCCTCTGGTTTCTTCAATCAAGCGGGAAGAGTCTGAGCAAGGGGGGCGGATGGGGCTGGCTGCGTCACCTTGGAGCATGAAAGGTTCCTACGATAAGGCTACTCGGGCACGCAGCGCCTTGGCTTGGCCCCCGAGCGGAGAGGCGGTCGACGACGCGCAGCATGACGGTGAGCGCAGCCTGACGACGCGTCTTGATGGACGGATCCTTCTGCCAGCTAACAAGAATTATCGGACGCGCCATGGGCACGGGACTGGCGCTAAACAAGGTTGCAGCGAGAAGCGGCGAGAGACTGCGAAAAGAGATACGAAGAGGCAGACTCCCCAGGGTGGGCGACGGCTAGCGCACCACACTCCTCTCCTTAAAATCCCTGTGGGTGGCGGCGTGCCGTTCTCCCATCCCTCCCTTGGGTTGTGTGTTTTCTTTCTTTCTTTCTTTCTTTGGCGCTAAACAAAGAAGTTCTCGCGCAAACAAATACACAAGTCCTCCCCCCTCGCTTTTGCAAAATCCTGCAAAGGTGGGGACGTGTCTGTCCTCGACCCAGCCCTAGCTTGGGATGTCCGTTGTATTTATTTATTTTATCATACACATTCCCTTTGCTTGTCTGCTTTTTTTATTTCTTTTAGCTGAAACATTGGAAACAAAAAAGAAAGAAGCACGCTGAGGGCGGTGCCGTGACATGGACCTCCTGGCTCGAACTCGTGTGACACTCGTGGAGAGAGAGAGAGAGAGTTCCTCGTCCGGCCATGTATGTGCAAAGACCTTCCAGGCCTGTGGTCGTCGCGGAAGGAGGAGTGCGCACGTCGGCTGAGGCTGCTGCTTGCTGCGGCGCCCGAGGAGCCCGGAACGTCATCGTCCGGCAAGCGCAGCCGCCGGAGAGAGAGAGAGAATTCTTGATACGAAACCACGACGACACACACCAGTCGACTCGCATCGGTTGCCTCCATGAACGGCGGAGCTATTCTCGCGCCCACACCACACCTGGCTCCAACGTGGACACGCCCATAGCTGGGGACACTACTAGGTCACGCATGGCATCACAGAAGTTTTATCTCTGGGCCCCGAAAGGCATCTCTAGCAGTGTCGTTACACATGCCCCCTCCCCTCCTGGGCGCATGCGCCTCACGTCTCGCCAGAGCATAAGCCCTTGGCGTGTGGCGAGACGAGTTTTTCGCCATCGCAGCGAGCAGCAAGCCGCCCGCCGCAAACAGCCGGAGGCCTCGCCGCGGCACTGGCTGCGCCGCGGTCCCGCACCCGTCGACGCAGCTCCCCCCGCGGAAGACCGCGCGTAGCAACGTCTTGACGATCGAGATGAGCGTGCCTGAAGCTCGCCCACCTACTGCCCCTGAGAGTTGGTTATTGAGTGGGATCAGCTCCCCCCCTTGGGATCGAAGCCGCCACAACCTCACACCCAACATCCCAGGCGGGATCAGAAGGGGACTCCACACCGGACACCGCCCGGGCACAGCCCCCCTACCCGTCGGATCGCACAGAGGGCCCCCTCGGAGCAGCCCACACACAATCACGCATCGGCAGAGTTAGTGCCTGAGTCAGGCAGACAGCACAGACAAGGAGAGGAGAGAGAGAGAGGAGAGAGAGAGAGAGGAGAGAGGAGAGGGTGAGGGAGTGTGTACACGTGAGGAGTGGGGAGGGTGTCTGTGGTGGGTTGTAGTCCTACTACGTGGTTAAAACCACGCGCCCCTCAGGAGCTTAAGGTAGAGCTGAGCGTCCTAGACGCCTCGGTGCCTCCCACCGGGTGAGACCATCTCTCTCTCTCTCTCTCTCTCTCTCTCTCTCTCTCGCAGCCGCCGCCCCGACCGAGACACTGAGATTTAGGTTTTGGTTCAGTTTGGTTAGGCACTGCGGCGGCGAGTGGGCGCTCGGCACGGCCGAGAGGCGGCAGTGGCGTTTGCGTGATGAGGCCAGCGCCATCGTCACTGTCTGCTCCCTAATTCCTTGCCTGAATCGCCCTTTTTTATCAAAACCGGCGGTCGCGGACATACGAATGTGATATACATGAGGCTAGTGGCGCCAATCGCTCGCTCCACGCTCGCGCACTCGTCGCGCCTGTGGACGCCATCGGACCTCGTCCAGTACTACGAGTCGCCTTTTGCCAGCTGGATGGACCGGCTCGCGGCGGAGCATCCAGCGCACCCGCTCGCCGCTCGCCGCGACCCGCCAGATCCGTTCCTCTCCATGCTCGGGAAGAAGGGCATGGCTGGCGAGCAGGAGGCGATGCGGAAGCTTTTCCTCGGCCTCGGCCTCGGCGTCGCCGACCTCTCTGCGGAGGCGCGCGGCGACGCGCTGGCTCAGAGGGCTCTCGTGACGGCCGAGGCGATGCGGGAGCGGCCGGACGTCATCTACCAGGCGCCCCTGGCGGCGGGCTCCTTTGCGGGCGTGGCTGACTTTCTGGTGCGCTCCGACCTCCTCGGCCGCGACGAGGCCTCGCGAGGCGACCCGGCTCTCTACACGGTGTGGGACGCAAAGCTGACGCGGCACGTGCGGCCGCAGCAGCTGATCCAGCTGTGCTGCTACGCCGAGATGCTCGCCGAGATGCAGGGCGCGCGCCCGGAGACGGTCTCCCTCGTACTCGGCGGCTCCGCCGCCCGCGTCGCCAGCTTCCGGCTCGCAGAGCACCGCGCGCACTTTGCCAGCCTGCGGCGGCGCTTTCTCGCCTTTCACGCCGGCTTCGACGCCGCCGCAGAGCCGCCGGCCGCGCCGACGCGCTCTGCGCCCGCCGGGCAGTGGCGCGGGCTCGCCGACGCGGAGCTGCTCGCGCGGGACGACCTCCGCCTCGTGGCGCGCCTCTCGCAGCGGCAGGCGGCGCTGCTCTCCGCCGCCGGAGTCCGGAGCGCGGCAGCGCTGGCGGAGCTGCCGCCCGGCCAGGCTGTCGGCGGGGTCGAGCGGGCGGCGCTCTCGCGGCTGCGCGAGCAGGCCTCCCTGCAGCTGCAGGCGCGCGGCGCCCCCGACGAGCCGCCGCCCTACCGCCTTCTCCCGTGGAGCCGCGCCGCCGGCCTCGCCCTGCTGCCGCCACCGTCGCCGTCCGACCTCTTCTTCGACCTCGAGGGCTTCCCGCTCGCGGAGGGGCATGCGCCCGAGGGGCCGGCCGCGCCGCCGGAGAGGCTCGCCGACTTCGCGGCGAACGGCGCCGCGGACGAGGCGGCGCGCGGGCGCGAGTACTTGTGGGGCGCGGCGACGCGGGGCGGACACGTCGCGGCGAGCGCCGCGGCGGGCGGCGGCGGCGGCGTCGGCGCGGCGCTCTTCGAGAACGACGACGAGTTTGTGGCGTGGTGGGCGCACAGCTACGCGCAGGAGAAGGCGGCTCTCGAGGGCTTCGTCGATTGGGCGGTCTCGCTCAAGCGGTCCGAGCCGCGCATGCACATTTACCACTATGGCGCGTACGAGGTGTCGGCGCTGCGGCGGCTCGCGATGCGGCACGCGACGCGGGAGGCGGAGGTTGACGAGCTGCTGCGCGGCGGCGCGCTGGTGGACCTGTACGCGGTGGTGCGGGGCGGGCTCCTCCTCGGCACCGAGAACTACTCGATCAAGTCGGTCGAGAAGCTCTACCGCGGCGGCGGCGGAGGAGGCCGCGACACCGCCGTGGCCAAGGGCGACCAGTCCGTGGTGGTCTACGACGCGTGGCTCGAGGCGCCGGACGGGAGCGACGCGGCCTCCTCCGCGACGCTCGCGAGCCTCCTCGAGTACAACCGCGACGACTGCATCTCCACCAGGCAGCTCGCCGACTGGGTCTGGCGCTTGCGCACCGAGCACCCCGCCGCCCCGCCCGCCGCCCCGCCCGCCGACGCCGGGCCGGCCGCCGACGATCCGTCGGGCGGCGCCGCCGCCCCCGCCGCCGCTCTGTCGGAGAGGGCGGCCGAGGAGGCGGCCGAGGTGGAGGAGCTCGAGCGCCTCCTCGCGTCGTCCACCGAGTGGCCCGAGGGAAGCCCGCTGGCGAGCGAGCAGGTCCGCTCCACCCTGTCGGCGCTGCTGCACTTCCACAAGCGCGAGGCCAAGCCCGGCTGGTGGCGCCGCTTCGACTGGCTCGCCGCGGCGCCCGAGGCGATGGTGGAGGACGAGCGCACCCTCGGGATGCTCCGCCGCACCGGCGCACCGCCCTACAAGACGAGCCCGCGCAAGCGGCGGATGGTTTACGAGTACGAGGCGGAGCCGCAGCCGAGCAAGCTCGAGGCGGGCGCCGCCGTCGTGCTCTGCCAGCACGGGGGCGGCGACGCCGACGATGGCGAGCGGGCGGGAGGGGTGGGCCTTCCCGCCGCCTTGGTGACGGCGGACGCGGCCAGCGGCACCTTCGGCGTCGAGTGCTCCGTCGAGCCCGCCGGGTGCATCTCCCTGCTGCCCGACGAGTACGTCGACGCGTCCCCCATCCCGGCGGCGGTGCGCGCGGCGGTGCGCTCGCTCGCGGAGCGGCCCGAGGAGCACACCGCACTCAGCTGCTTCCTCGCGCGCCGCCCGCCCCGCGCGCTCCAGGGCGGCGCCGGCGAGCCGGCGGCGGCCGCGTCGGTCTCGTCGGTCGTGGGTGCGGCGCTGCGGCTCGAGAGCGACTACCTGTGCGTGCAGGGGCCGCCCGGCACGGGCAAGACGTTCGTCGGCTCGCGCGCGGCGGCGGCGCTGATCGCAGCCGGCCGGCGCGTGGGCGTGCTCGCGCACTCGCACGCCGCGGTGCACAACATGGTCGAGAAGACGATCGGGGCGCTCTCGCGCGCGGGCGCGCGGGGCAGGGTCGTCAAGATTGGCGGCGACAAGGAGGAGGCGGCGCGGCTGCAGCGCGGCTGCGGCGAGGGGCTGCGCGTGGAGCGCGTGGCGAGCGCGTCGGCGCTCAAGGGCGAGCCGCTCGACGAGGACGTGCTGCTCGTCGGCGGCACGGCGTGGGCCTTCTCCAGCGAGGCTCTCGCCGGCCAGGTCGACGTGCTGCTGGTGGACGAGGCGGGACAGCTGCCGCTCGCAAACCTGGTCGGCGCTTCGCGCGCGGCGGACAGCCTCGTGCTGCTCGGCGACCAGATGCAGCTGCCCGCGCCGTGCGAGGGCACCCACCCCGCCGAGTCGGGCCGCTCCGGCCTCGAGTACTTGCTGCGTGGCGAGCCGACCGTGCCGCCGTCGCTCGGCGTCTTCCTCTCCGAGTCGCACCGGCTGCACCCCGCCCTCTGCTCGCTCGTGTCGGAGCTGGTCTACTCGGGCCGCCTCTCCTCGCACGCCTCGGCCGCCCGCCGCTCCCTCGCGCTCGGGCAGCGGCCGCCCGCAGCCGGCTGCCCGCCTCGCTTGCGCCGCGCCGCTGGCGTCGAGTGCGTCGACGTCGAGCACCGCGGAAACAGCCAGTCGTCCTCGGAGGAGGCGCGCGTGGTGGCGGAGCTGTGCGATGAGCTCCTCGGCGCCGACCTGCTCGACGGCGGCGGCGCGCCGCGCGCGCTCCGCTGGGAGGACATCGTCGTCGTCGCGCCGTACAACGCGCAGGTCCGCCTCCTGCGCTCGGTGCTCGGCCCAAAGGCGCGCGTCGGGACGGTGGATCGGTTCCAGGGGCAGGAGGCGCCGGTCGTGCTGCTGAGCCTGTGTCACTCCGACTTCGCGGCCGCCGACACGGCGGACGCCGGGCTCGAGGGTGAGGCGGCCGCCGCCGGCGGCGGCCGCGGCCTCTCGTTTGTGCTGAACCCGAACCGGCTCAACGTGGCGCTCACGCGCGCGCAGTGCCTGGCGGTGGTGGTCGCCTCGCCCCGCCTCGCGGAGGCGCCGGTGCGGTCCGTGCGGCAGCTGCGCGAGGTGAACTTCCTGGCGCGCATCCGCGAGGTCGGCGGGGCGACTCCCGAGATCGACGGCGACGAGCCGCCCCTCGGCGGGGGCTAGGCGCAGCTCTCGCTAGCTCTCCTTTTGCGATGCCGCGTGTGTACAGCTACAGGCTGCCGTACTTTATACCACGTTCCGATGTGTAAACAGAGGTGTCTCTTCTACCTCCCCGCTTACGTAGCGGTGGCACTTGGAGTGCACTCCGGCAACCTCACACCGGGCCATACAGTGGGTTGCGGGCATTCGATATAATAATAGAAAGCGTCGCATAGATTAAGAAACCACGCCGAGCGATTTCTGCAAAAATCTAAGAAACCACGGCGCGCCGCAGGCGCGGCTCCGAGAAAAGGCCAGAGACGAGTGTGAACGGGAGCTCCCAGCTCGTCCTCTGGGGGCGGGGGCGCGGGGGCCCCCGGAGGCACCGTGCGCCGCGCAGCAGTGCGGAAACGGGGCTCCGGCTCCGTTAGTCTCCGTTAGCACCAACTTCCCGATTAAGCTAGGTTAATCAGAGGGCAGATTTGGAGAGATCTCGAGGAGTACATACAGATAGACCCTCCAACCATCAGAAAACTCCGACCTGATCGGTCGTACTGACCGCCGACAGATCACTCCAGACAGCAGACAGGCCGACGTCTGCACGCGGCCGACACTCTCTCTCGCGGCCGGCCGGGCGAGAGGCTTGACACGATCCGACCCTGCGACCCTGACGCTGCTGCTCTAGCTATCAGACATGCACTGCTGACTGCTGCCACAATGTGCGACCTGTGCTGGCCCACTTGGCGGCCTTCCCGGTCAGTGGTGAGGCGCAGTTCAGAGCTGTCGATGGCGCGATGCCGCACTGGTCCCACATCGGTGACACGAGACCACCACGTTTGCCGGTCCAAGAGAGAGGCACCGGCGCTGTCCTGAGAAGGTGCGTGGTCCCTCTTGACTGCCCATGCGCGCGAGGCTGCGTAGGCATAGCCTCGAGAGTGCCAACAGCCAATCCGAGGCGACGCGCATTGCGTCAGAAGCGTGCACGCAGCTGGAAGGACACCTTCCTACTGGCCGTACGATCAGGTCGTCACTGAATGCTTGATACTAAGGCCGCGAGCTATGCAGGCGGTCAGTTGTGCATCATGGCACGGTCAGCAGCGCCGACAGGCTGTCGCAAGGCGTGATAGCATGGCCGCAAGTACGCCGGATTCCCATGAAAACAAGTAAAAATGCGCAAAAAAGAAGAGGGAAAAATCGAAAAAATCGGCGCCTGCGGCGGGCCATGGGACCCCATCGCCCCCCCGCACGGATACCCTCTAGGGCCCTCGCGCCCCCCAGAGAGCTCGTCAAGATTTCTCTTCGCCTGCGCGGCGCGCGCACTTGGCATTTTGCACACCGCTGTTTATACTCGTTTATTCACGAGGCGACCCCACTTGGAGCACTTGGAGTGCAGTCATTAACCGCACATCCAGGGCCGGGGAGCTCAGAAGCGCACCCAGCGGGCCGGATGATTGGCATCGGGTTGCGGGCAAGAGAGCCCTAGCCCTGGGGGTGCGCGATCGCAGGGAAAGGGCCGTAAAGTAACCTCGTTTGCAAGTCTGCGGTGTTCTGATGAGTGAGAGGTGTGGATGGAGGCGTGTGCGTCTTGAGTCGGTGGCAGACTGGCTGGCGGCATCGGATTAGTGACCGCAGCTCTACCATAAATGTCTGACCAAGCGCAAGCGGACTCGCACAGCGATTCGCTGTGCTCGTCCCAAGTTCGCGGCGGCAGGCATCTCCTCGTCCTCTCCTCGGCGGGCAAGCCCATCTTTTCGCTGCAGCACGGCGACGAGACGTCCGTCGCCGATCTTGCCGCGCTTGTCGCCGCAATCGTGTCCTTTGTGCAGCGCGGCGGCGACGAGATCCGGCACGTGCGTGCGGGCGCGACCTCGCTCGCCTTTCTCGTGCGTGGGCCGCTCTATCTCGTCGCCTCCTCCTCGTGCGGCGATACGGTGCCCTACCTCTCCCGCCAGCTGGCCGCACTGCACGCGCAGCTCCTCTCTGTCCTCACCTCAAAGGTGGAGGAGGTGTTCGCGCGCAACGCCGGCTTCGACCTGCGCTCGCTCCTCGGCGGCACCGACCGCGCTCTGCAGAGGATGCTGCGCGGCGCCACCTCCTCTCCCTCGCTGCTGCTGCAGGCGCCGCCCGCGATGCGAGCACCGCCGGCGCTGCGCGGCGAGCTCACGCGAAGGCTGCGGCGGAACCGGCCGGCGCCGCTCCTCTTCGCCGTGCTGCTCGGCCACGGGCGGCTCCTCACGGCGCTGCGCGGCCAGCGCGCGGCGCTCGGCGCATCGGACCTGCTCCTCCTCCTCAACGCGATCTCCGAGGCGGCCGAGGGCGGCGAGGGCGGCGGCGAGGGGAGAGGCGGCGAGGGCGGCGGCGGCGAGGGGAGGGGCGGCCGGCAGTTTGCCGACGACCAGTCGCAGTCCTGGCTGCCGCTTTGCTTGCCGCACTTCAATGAGCGCGGCTTCTTGCACGCGCACGTCTCGACCGTCGGCCAGCACCTCCGCCTCGTCCTCCTCTCGCCCGACCGCGACGCCTTCGCTCCCCTCGCCGCGCACCGCGACGCCTTTGCCGCCTCGCTCGCCGCCCTCGCGCCACCCGCCGCCTCCGCGCTCGCCGCCGCCCTCGCCGCGCCCTCGCCGCCGCTTGAGGCGGCCGGCGTGCCCGAGCTGCTGCACTACGCCTACACGGCCACCTCCCTCGGCCAGTCCACCTCGCCGCTCCTCCCGGCCGGCAGCCCGTACGCCGAGCCGGCCGCACTCGAGCGGCTCCTCCGCCGTTACCAGCGCGCGCAGGCCCGCACGCACGCCAAGGGCAGGGACGGCCCGGCGCACGAGTATTTTGCGGCCTCCGACTCGGAGCTCGTCGTCGCGTGGCGCGGCGCCGGCTTTGAGCTCTACGTGGCGCTCTGGCCGCTGATACAGCTTCCGGCCGCGGCCGCAGCGTGCAGCCAGCTACTGCGCTGGCTGCGGCGGGAGGAAAAGGCCCTCTTCCTGACGTACACCAAGTATTGAACACCCACCCTGGGTTTTTACTTAAGTGTTAAGAAGTCTCTCCACAGAGAAGTGTACTTGAGCGAGTGAGCTTGTGTACCTTGTTACGTAGTGTCCTTGTGTGGTTTCTTCTCTTTCCTCGTCGCGAGGAGTCGCACTCTGTCAGGGGAGACAGACGCAAAACCGTGCACGTATAGCGTACCGCGAAGGTACAAGGTTCTCCCCACACTCTGACGTCTCTCTGACCTGACTGTCAGTCTGACGTATCTGAGACTGAGAGTGAGACGTGAGAGTGAGTTTTTGAGTACTGGGAGAGTGTAGTGTGAGTGTGTGTGTAGACCTAGAGTCCTAGACGTGAGGCGGAGAGCCGGGAGGTGGCAGGTGCGGGCGAGTCCGCGCCCTGGTCTTGCTCGGTTCTCTCTCACCCTCTCAGCAGCTCGAGTCGTCCCTCGAGGAGACGACCGAGAGAAGATAGCGCTTAGCGGTTAGCGCAGAGGCCCCCCCGGAACGCGGCGCTATACGCGGGCGCGGTTGACCTAAGGTAGTACCTAAGGCTGCCCGCGTGTATGTGCGGCCTGAACCTGTTCGTGGAGCGATTTTGGTTTGTTTGCGGGCACGCGTGACGCACGTGTGTACGTGTCCAGTCTCCACACTCCAGTCAAGTGTACGTTACTTTTAGCTTACTGGGAGAAGGGGGACTCTCTCTCTCCAGTGTATGGTTAGGAGAGTGTGTATGTGAGAGCGGGAAAAGGAGTGGAACGAGAAGGCGCTCAAGAAGAAGCCCGTACTTGTAATTTGAAGAGACAGAATGATTGACGATATGGAAAGCAGAGGGCGCATGGCAAGCGAAGGAACCTTCCATCCCGGCCGGCGGTGGTTCGAATCCACATGCTAGTCCACACATGTGACTCATGAGCCGAGCGAGGGGGAGGGGTGTGAGAGGCCTGACATCTGAAGCTCACCCAATGGAATTCACAAAAGAGGAAGTGAGGAACTCCGACCCACACCTGGATATGGATGGATGATTTGCTGACTGAACAAGCTCCTCTCGACTCTCGCTCGTGGCACGATCGGTCCACAACTGCCACCACCGACGACATCTCCAAGCACCAATGTGCGGATCACAGTAGCCCCGGGACGGGGGGGGGGCGGGCCTCACCCGGGACTCACCCCGAGACCCCACCCCGGGACGCGCCGGCTGCGGGTGAGGCCCCACCCCCGGGGCAGTGAGGGGCAGGGGCGGGGCGGAGCTCCTCAGAGTGAGGGGCGCCCCGGGTGCCCCCCCACCCCCGCCACCCCGCCCCCCGGGCACCCGACCCGCCCTCAGCTCTCAGCTCCCCACCACGCAAGGTGCAGCGGACCGACCTGGTGGGCAAGCGGATGATCATGAAGACCTTTGGCGGCCATGGCACCTTCGTCGGAGATATCGTCTCTTACGACCCGGAGACGGGATGTTACCAGCAGGTCACCTATGAGGACGGCGACAAGGAGGGCTTCTCGCGAGCCTCTGTCCAGGCTGGCGTGCGGCGATTCCAGGCCCAGGCAAAGTGATGCGATCCGTCTCGCCGAGGCGCGCTTTTTTGCGTCCGCCTCGGTAGATGTTAGAGACTTTGTGCGTTTGGAGCAGTGCGGACTGTCTGTGCAGAGTAGAGTGGGGTCTCACCCGTTTATTAGTTTATTTGTAGTATTGTTCTGTGTGAGCGGTGGTACGCCGCACAGGCCGCTCTCCCTCGCCTCGGCGGTGTGCGGGTGGTGCCGCGGCGTGGCGCGGGCCGGGGGCGCGCGGTAGGCGTACGGGGCCGCGTGCGCGTGGCCCGCCCGTGGTGCCCCTGGCTGGGTCGGGCAGCGAGCACCCCCCCGGGACGGCGCATCGCGAGTGAGGTCCCGGGGTGGGGCAGGTGAGGGAGGGGGCGGGGACGGCCAGGCCCCGGTGAGCCCCGGGTGAGGCCCGACCCCCCCCCCGTCCCGGGGCTACTGTGATAAGCACACAAGGAGATGATGGAGAGGCAGATGGTACATGTGGGATTTTGTTCGGTCCATGGGGAAAAAGAAAGTCTTTCGAGCGGGCTGCAGACTTGTCATCTTGGCTGTTCGATGTCTGCTGGTTATGCTTCTGCAATCTCCTTCACTGCCGCAGGCATCGCGGTGGGCGCATCGCTTGCATCGCTCGCGTACAACACATTCCGCATCGCGGAGCGACAAGGCAGCGATTTGATGATGGCAGAGACCACGGCGCAAAAGCTCGAGACCGCGGCTCAGAAGCTTGAGGAGATATACGCGGCCGCCGTCGCGGACCTCAGCGCCGTGCGCCAAGAGCTGACGGCGACGGCCGAGCTTCGTCAGGCACTCGAGCAGGCGACGGCAATAAAACTCAAAGGCGAGCTCCAGGCCCCTTCAACGGCGGCGGCGTTCCCAGTGAATGTCGAGCAGAGCCTCGCCAAGCAGGACACGGCGGCCGAGGCGGCGGCCGAGGCGGCGGCTGACGAGGCTGCGGTTGCCGAGGCGGCAACGGAGGCGGCTGCCGCCGACGCAGAGGCGGCTCTGCACGCGCGGTGCGACTCGCTGTTTGTCGAGCAAGCCTTCGCCCAACTGCTCGAGACGCTCACCGCGGCGCTCTCGTCCGGCCGCGGCGCACCGGAGCAACTCCTGTGGCGCGCCGCGCGGGCGTGCAAGAAGCTCGCCGAGGCGGAGGACCCGAAGTCGGAGGTGCGGATGGAGCACTTGCGCGACGGGCTCGAGTACGCCACGCGCGCGCTCGAGGCGGCGCCCGAGCTCGGCGCCGCGCACAAGTGGTACGCCATCCTCCTCGGCACGAGGCCCGGCTCGACGGCCGACAAGATCAAGTCGTCCTTTGCGGTCAAGCAGCACTTTGACCGCGCGGCGGAGCTCGACCCCGCCGACCCCACCTCGCGGCACCTGGTCGGGCTGTGGTGCTACGAGGTGGCGAGGCTGTCGTGGCTCGAGCGGAAGGCGGCGAGTGCGCTCTTCGCGTCGCCGCCCGAGGCGACCTACCAGGAGGCGTACACGCACCTCTCCCACGCCGAGCGGCTCGAGCCTGGCTTCTACGCAAACAACCGGCTCCTGCTCGCAAAGTGCTGCTCGGAGATGGGCCAGAGGCAGGAGGCGCGGGACTGGCTCGCCGAGTGCCTCGCGATGGAGCCGCGCGACGCCGACGACCGCAAGGCGCTGCAGGAGGCGGCCAAGCTGCGCTATTGAGCTCTGAGCTCCACAAAGGGGCGGCGCGTCGTGTCTTGGGTGTCGATCTTGGGTGAGCTTTGGTGGGCGCGGCGGGGATCGCGGGAAGGGAGGCAGGCGAGCACGCACAGGGCCAGTGCGGCCAACACATGCGAGTACATACAGTATCAGTAACCTGGAAATTCGAACGTCGCGTGGGATTATCCTCTAGGACTCGTATATGTTATACGTTTATGTTGGGTCATTATACATTAACAAGAAACAGGGTCCCTCTAGCTCTCTACACACCGCTCTTGACCGAAGTCTTGAGGCGCTTGTGACTCTGTGTGCGCATGCATCCAGGAGTGTGTCAAACCCTCTCTTAGACACCATTGGCATTGCGCATGGCTTGTGGCCTTGGGAGTCCCCCCCCCCCCCCCCCCCGCCCAGACCCCAGACAGCCAGAGCTTCTTGTATGTTTTGTAATGACCAACATCAAGAAGACAACGGCTGCTCAGGCGGCCGCTCAGGCCGCTCAGGCGGCCGCTCTCGGACGGTACAGGTTGGTCACCCTCCGCTTGGTTCTATCCAGTATCCTCGCGGCGACTGGTACACCTTGTACTGGGATGGCAGCTCGGCCGACAAGGTCGCAAGGCGCGCTGTCTTCCCGACGCTCGAGCACGACGACCACGACCCCGGCACCCTCGCAGAGCGCATCAGGCGCGACAAGCGCGAGCGGTCCGACCGTCCTCCGACGACTCCTCCTCCGACCAAGACTCATGCGGCTCCGGCTCTACTAGCGAGGCGAATGACATATTCGACACCCTCGGCGACCATCTCGGCTACGGTTCCGACTCCGGCTTCGGCTGGTAGTCGACAAGCTGCCGAGCCCAAATCACTGTCAGTGCCAGATTTCTTGTTGGCTTCTAAAAATCTCTTTCTCTCCAACATCCGTGTTCTGTGTTGTTTTGTTACGGGAGGAAGGGATGTCGTTTCTTTTTCCGAACCCTGTCGAACGGGTGAACATGTGTGTTTTATTTTTGCTTGGGGCGGACATCATGACGGGGTAGTAGGGTAGGTCTTGTAGGTCTGGGCCCTCCCGTCGGGGTTTTCCCTCTCTTCACGCTGGAATTTTCAAACAAAATTCAAGGAATTTTCACAGCAGAACAAAGAAATTTTCCGGGGAAATCACGATGTCAAACGTGGTCCCCAAATGGGTGATCTGATGCTTGTAGGGCCTGAGAGTGGCCTGCCATGCCACAGGGAAGGTCTCCTGGTCTGTGGTTGCAGGAGAGTACCACACCATCCATCACTTTAGTTGGTATAGTACCCCACCTTCACCCATCCACTATGGAGCACTTGGTCTTGGAGTGCAATTATCAGCCTCACATCCAGGGCCGGGGGGCTAAGTCCTAAGAAGCACACCCAGCGGGCCAGATGATCGGGATCGGGTTGCGGGCAAGAGAGCCCTAGCCCTGGGGGGGTGCGCGTTCGCAGGGAAAGGGCCGTAATGTAAACATGGGTCTCCGAGAGGGCTCCGTGTACCGGGTTTCCCCTTAACTGCAGAACGCCCCCTCTACTAGTTTCCCATAAGTAGGGTAGGTAGGTAGGTAGGTAGGTAGGGGCAGGGGAGGGGCCGGCCAGGGTTTTGCAGAATTTCATCATGATGTCCGCCAAAAATAAAGTAGAGCTCTACCTCCGGTGCACAAAAATGAGCGGAAATTTTGGGGAGTCGTCTCAGTCTCACGTGAATTCGTCCCTGTCTCACTCTCAGCGTCTCAGCGGTGTCTCAATAGATCCAGCACTCCGTCTCAACACTTCCGTCTCACTTCCGTCTCTGACTGCCTTCTCGTCCGTCTCAGCGCGGCAGGCTCCCGAGAGTGCCGAGATTGCCCAAGATAACCCGTGCAACCTCATGAGGTGGTCGGGGCACTGTGTCTGGTTCCCCAGAGTACACGAGATGTCCACCGAGAGGTCGGAGGACGTGTCCACGAACTTCCGGGACACCTGCGGGCCGGCCATGACCCAGATCGGCGAGCACACGTGAGCTCGGGAGTTCGCCCTGCGCAACCCGGCCGCCAACTGCGTGCACTTCGTGTCTCAGTGACAAGACTGACACCTGCTACCAGCTTTCGATTCAAGCTTGCCCCGC